TTAAACCGTAACTTGATTATTTCTATTTTTAACGGAGGCAGAGGTGCTTTTTATGGCGGGGCTTTGTACGAAAGATCCCGAATACTTATCTGAAGCATGCACTATTTACTACAATTTTACATATCAATGTCATAAAGGAGGGTTCGATAAGACATAAGTTGAATTCTGTTCAAGGGCGCAGTCAAAATTACCAAAAAGAGTCCATTTATAATGTCTTGCTTTATTAATTTAAATTTGTGTGTAATAAAACCTGCGGTTGCGTCGACGAAATTAGAATATTGCTACGATATGACACGAAAATCCACGACCATAAAAAAGGGTTTCAAACTGCCCAATTATGTTGAGCTTTGATTCAAATTGTTGCGTTGTTACAAATTTAATCTGTTCTTGCAACACTGACTTCGCTCTATCGCTATGCTACCTACTATCTTAGATTATTTTCGAGATATCAACGTTACAGAAAGGAGCAATGAGCATGAAATCCCTGAGCAAAATATTCATTAAATAACTCCAGGCTAGGTCTCTATGAATGCAATTGTTTGTTTCTGTTAACGAAACTTAACAGGTATATAGTACGACTAAAATGCTGTGCGGCTCGCTTACTCAGCGGTGACTTATAAAATGGCCCGCGATAGCAAATAGGTTCGTCACCCCTGATTTAAAACATGTAGGAGAAATTACTTGCTATCGACCATCTTAGGTAAAAAAAAATTCAGGCTATCGACTAGGGCACTAGGCGCTAGTCAATAGGTCTTATTTTAAGGAGAGTGATTATATTCAATAATTTTCAAAATTAGGGATGCGTCTTATTTCGGGGAAATACGATATTAGATTCCGTTGTGTAAATTTGGTCTTGGCGTATTAATGCGGTAAATCGATTGACTCACGAATAAGAATAAAAATTTAAAACAAAAATCATCTATCGTCGCTAGGATTCTCCTACAAGTTCAAGTAAGTTATCTTAATCCGGCAGTGTGGCGCATCGTGCTAAGCGTTAAAAATACGCCCGCCACCACACCCCTGATAATGCTGCGTGGGTTTGCAGGTTCGAATCCCATATGGGGTTCATTATGTGCGAGAGGTTTGCTGGAATCCTCATCGTCGTACGGTGGTCCACGTTAACCGCTGGTCGGTGTCGATTTTCTCCACCACCAAGTCCATGCGTCTGAAAACAAAAAAGGCGGATAACTAATCCCATACCCGTCGCGGCGTTCGCCCTATGATTAGGCCGTATTATCGGCTTTCCTCTCCTCCGGGATAAATACGTAAACCCTATCATACTCATAGAACAACAAAGCGTGCTCAATGCTTGTATCAATAAATGTTTCTACTATCACAGCCAGTGTTTGCCCCTATAGTATATGTGAGTTTTTTCTCAGATTATTTAGCACCACACGAACAGAAAGTTTTTGAACCGCTGAATTAAAGAATATACCGAAACGCAATAGTTGTCTGTTACAAATGAGGATCACTTTCGTAGTATTTACACATCCTCACAGTACAGTGCTAGGTGAATAAGATTTGACTGGAACATCTCGATTTACTCAAGAACAAGTATAAAAATTTAAAACAAAAATCATCTATCGTCGCTAGAATTCTTCATTTTTGCGTTAACGTTCTCCTACAAGTTATAGTTGATTGTCTTTATCCTACTCATAGAACAATTATCCTACGCATAGAACAAAAAGGCGTAGATTAAGATTAGGGAGGATGCGGCTAAACTAAACAAGAACTCCACTTAATCCAAAAGAGAATGTTCTCCATTGTCTAGAACTAATCAACATTTTGTTTTTTCTACTATCACAGCCCGTGCTTCGTTCTAATAGTATCTGTAGCTACTAATTATTATAGTACACGGCTCGACTCGGCGACTCCCGTCACGCGGACCATAAAGTTATTGCGCATGCCCACTCCATTTATAGTTGTACTCTACGTAAGCGAATATTCAATTTATACCTTAATACTGCTCAGTCCTATTCAATATTTGTTTGCTTTTATTTAATCTTGGTATCGCAATTGACGTTTTTAGTAGGATAGACAGAGCTCATATATATATATATATATTACTTACCGGTACTTTTCGATAATTAATGAGAGTCATACAGTCATGAAACTTTGCCTGGAGACGGTGGAAAGATTATTAGAATAGAAAAACGACTCACCAAATTAACGCGAAGCACCGCTTCAGATTTTCTACAAAACTCTTTCACAGATGAAGACTGGTTAACGTCTTCACAAACTCATGGCTATGGCTAAACACAGGCTACTGCACCTAATATAACAACTAACATTCGCTCTGTAAGTACATCCATATTATTCTCCCTCCAAAACAACGTGACCGTCAACTTGTTCTGTTCAAACCATATCCACAAACAAGCAAATAATCCCAAACCATGGCGAAAAAACGGCAAAATTTCGCGTAGAATCCGCCAGACTTATAAATGCCGGAACAGTCCGCGACCCGCGTGGATGGTGATAAAGTTATTCATTGTTGCGTCACTGTCCTTGATTTTCTTCGTAGCTGAGGCGGTATTGTTACGTAGGGATGATACATCGAATGAAAACAACCTTCGACCCCAGAAAAATTAGTCGTATTATCGGTATTATTAAGGTTGATTTCTCATGCCTGTTTTTCCGAGATATCGTATTCAAGCATATTTACGCCATCATTTTGATTCAAAATATTTAACCATTTGGCATTACTTGAACGACTCTTCTCGACTCTTATATGTACCGAATTTTCTCAATTGCTAGTAACAAGAGAGCTATGCTCAAATATATGGACACGTAGAGTCACATAATTTTGATGACGTCATAGCGAAAAAAAAAGTAATAGCCTTCTGGAGAAAATTTTTATCTTTAACCACTAAAAATTTCAAAGCAATTGGTCCAGTATTTGAAGAGAAAAGCGACTTTTTAAAAACGTGTCAAGCGGTACTGAGTTAGCAGTCAGGCAGCATCTTACCTGTACACTGTAGGCCATATACGGTAATTGATCACAGAACAGTTGTTCCCTTGCAAATTTTATGTTGTTTACACTTTAGGACAGATAATTGATCACAGAACAATTCTTCCCTTTCAAATTTTATGTTGTTTCCAGTAGACTCTCATCAAAATAAACAAATATAGTAGGCTACAAGTGCTACAACGCTTGCATTACTGCACTGGTAGGACCGTGAAAGAATAAGTTACGGTAATTTCATTGTGGTAAGACACCGGTACCGGCACCAGTACCAGTATCGTACTTACGTACTGAGCTACCAGTACCGGTTAGCAGTCAGCCAGCATCTTACCTGTACACTGTAGGCCATATACGATACCGTAATTGATCACAGAACAGTTGTTCCCTTGCAAATTTTATGTTGTTTACACTTTAGGACAGATATTTGATCACAGAACAATTCTCCCTTTCAAATTTTATGTTGTTTCCAGTAGACTCTCATCAAAATAAACAAATATAGTAGGCTACAGCCTACAAGTGCTACAACGCTTGCATTACTGCACTGGTAGGACCGTGAAAGAATAAGTTACGGTAATTTCATTGTGGTAAGACACCGGTACCGGCACCAGTACCAGTATCGTACTTACGTACTGAGCTACCAGTACCGGTACCGAACCTGTAGGTCTGATATTCCGTTCCGCATACGATAGGCTATAAAACTTGCATTGCAGCATTAGTAACACTGCGGAAGGAATAAGTCAATTTCACTGCGTTACGGTACCTGTATGGCAACTTACCAGTACCGACCTACAGTAGCTGTAGTACTGAGCAAGACAATCGATCGCGAAACCGCTTGAAATAAGTGTAAAACAGTGTTCCCATGAGTAAAAATAAATACCGCGAAATTTTGTATGAAATATCATATCTCATAGGATTCATATAAAATTTAAGAATAAACAAAAGTAATAGCCTTCTAGCGAAAAAATTAATCTTTAACCACTGAAAAATTTCAAAGCAATTGGTCCAGTATTCGAAGAGAAAAGCGACTTTTTAAAAACGTGTCAAAGAACAAGAACAACAACATAATATTGAAACGATCGTTATGTCCACTACGTGTCCAATAAACGAAATGAATTAAGGCAGCGGTTCCCAAAAGTTGGGCCGCGGCGAGTTGTTAAGTGCGCCCCGAAATGTAAAAATATTTTACATATTGCATTTGATATAAATGCTTTATTGTTTCTCATTTTAAATGTCGTGTATAAGAATCAATGGATAAATTTTACCTTTTTATGTCGATCACATTCTGTTACGTAGTGTACGCCTCTATCATTATGTAACAAAAGAGATAGACACTACTTGCTGCAATTTCGTTAGCTGCAGTTTATTTATCTGCTGAACCGAATTTAGCGAACATGAGTGATTGCAGATATGAGGAAATAGAGTCGAACCTTTGCCTTTCTTTCGACTACAAACTTTAAAACACACATTAACGATCACAAAATTGAGCTTTATTAGAAGTAGCATTTTTTTCGCGTAAGCGCGCCGCGAATTTTTTCCCAGATAATTTGGCGCCGCACGAACAAAAGAGTTCGCTGAATATACAGAGATGTGAGAGTTTTCCTGCACAAACGGTGATTACTTTCGTAGTCTTTCTAAATCTACGCTCTCACTACTTTGTGTAGGGCGAGTAATACCGGGCTGGGACATGTGTGGCCGTGACATCATACTATATTCACAGCTGCTTAACAGGTGATTTCGTATGAAGCTTTGTCGACTGCAAAAATACCTCACAGCAAACAAGATAGACGGCAGATATAAACAATATTGAGAACGGATTTAACGGTTGTTCAAGCTAAAAGAGAAAGCCGATTAAACGAATCAATCATATTACTAACCACGGTCTCTCGTCCGGTTACCTATCAACGTGGCTAACCACAGTCTCTCTTCCGATTACCAATGCTTGTGGAATATGGGAATAGCTGAGCTATTATTAATAATATCAGATGCACGTGCTCTAGTGCTGTGGGAAACCTGCAACACAAACACCCAGAGACAGACGTAATAAACGTTTTTACTATTTAATTTCAAGCGAGTACACGTGGATAATCGCGGAACATTATGATGAAACAATTATTACATTGCACGTATGCGATTCTTACATAATAATCAGAAATGACGACTTAAACAAAGCCGTTGACGAAGCGCCGATTATCATCAATGGCGCGATTTTGTTAAAATAAGTGAATTTTAAATTACAGATAAAATAGCAGGCAGAAAATACATAAACAAAATCAAGATATAATAAGTCTTGCAGAATAACAATCATAATAGGATATAATATAACGATCGACATCGATGATATGGCCGACAATCATAAGAATTTTAACTATGTATATAGTCAAAGGTGAAGTAACTAATGACATTACAGAGCTATTTAAGTAGCAGATTTTCTGTACTGCGTCATACCTAGAGCACCCAGGGCCAATTCACATGTATCCCGAACTGTAAAACTGTATTCTCTTGGACACAGATTGTAATAATAGACAAACAAATTACTTTTGTTGTGCGTTTTCACACCCCGAGTCCGAATTGAACTTCACTGGGTGAGACTATGTGGCTATACTTGAATAAGTTGGTGAACTCTTAAGACGAGGCGATTCACAAAATATTTAAAAAAAAAAAAGAATACCCACGATAATAATAAGAAATCAGAAGTGATTGTTGAATCAAAATGGCTCAAAAATAAGGCCAGTAATTCCAAAGCAATCTCTTGATACTGGATAAATATTTGCTAAGAAATTGTCTATATTTATCAAATCGGACAAAATTTTTGGTCCAGATTTTTCTCAATATTATTATTGCCATAATTTAATTAGGAAGTCCTGATATAAGAATATTATTAGCAAAAAATTATTCAATTTTATATAATTGTCCTCATATTTTAAATACATGAATATATAATAATATTGCAAGCTGATTTTATTTAAAAATCTAAAATGTGAAATTTGGTTGCAAAAATGAATAACATAATAACAATTTAACCTTCAATATTCATGTATAGGTCACAGTTTAGAAATTAATTATTCGCCGAGACAATTCTTAGGCCAGAGCATTGGCTAGCTTACATGGCGATGAGAAAATATCCCATTCCATTCAGTAGTGAGAATATTGAAATATGCAGGAGATATAGGGTAAATTGGGCTCATCTGATATATATATTGTTATAAATTTCAATTCTACAGATCATTTTTATCGCTGGATTATTTATTAGAATAAAACAGGAATCCCATGTTTATCCCGGAAAAGAGGAAAGTTGATAAGACTTAATCACATGGAAAGCTACAGCCTTTTGTCATGTTACCAGTCCATGTCGGGTATTGGAATAGACGACTAGATTCAAATAGTCAAATTATACCCTCATACATGGGTCACTAACAAACCAATGAAGAAATAGCCTGTCTAGTTGGTTGTGCCAATTGTATTTTGTTGAGAATACAGGTTACATAAGCATGTCTGATACAAAGTATGAAAAATTTGAATTTAACAATTTATTTTATACTTCAATAATTAGATTTAAATAGGTTATAATAGTAGATTTTCATATGTGGGCAATATAACGAAGAGATAGCCAGTCTAGTAGCGAGGAAATTGAACTATGTTGGGAATACAAGATAAAGAAAGCTCATTCCATAAATAAGATGGATTTGAATTTTAAAATCATTTTATACTTTAATCAAGTTTAATCCAAATACCTTATTAATTCACTTAGGTATACACTTGGCCCTGCAGCCATCACAATCCAATGGATAAGAATAATCTGTTTGATTATTATTATTATTTATCAAGATTGCTTCCCAAAACAGCATTATGAGGCATAATAATATATGATCTCTCATGGCATAAATTAGGTATTTGATTTAATGATAGAGTAATTGGTGCTACGGGCGAACACTGTCTTGTTGACTATCCCCTGATTCGGAATGGTTTCCAGATCTCTTCAATTTTCGTCCACTGGAGGGGGTTTCTGAGGCATCATACTTTGTGTTGGACCTGCAGTGAGGTATCCTGCTGTTGTGGGCCCTCCTGAAAGGGAGATTACACAATTGAAAGCATGGGTACACTACACTAATCAAGACTGACCCTTTATACAGGAAATAATGCAAGCGGCATATATTGTTAGAAATTGCATTTGATTTATCAAATGTACGATTTAAAGTGGGATAATTCCCCAATAGTGATATTGGGATGGTGATTGCTATTATATCTTTAACAGGTTTGTAACAAATTTGAAAATGTTTGAAACTCATCCAGTATTGCAATTAAACATCTTGAATATTGAAATCGAAATACCTCAGGCCACATTGAAAAGAATCATAGTATCGTTCCAATGTTGTGCAATAGCAGATAAGAAAAGGCTGTTGCGTCAAAATATCTTGCCCCAGTACAGCAACAAGCTCACAGAATACTTTCTCTGTCTTCATTAGAAATCAAAATATCTAATATAAATTAAACTTACCAGTGAGATAACCAGATATATTAGTATTAGAAATAAACAAATCGTGTCTCTGGTCTTTATAAGCTGCCCAAGTGCTGGACTTCTCTAAAATACCTTGAATCTGAAAACAAGATTCAGGATGAGTATAAAATTTATATCTCATTTAATCTTAGTGGCCGCAATGGACTAGCGCAACGTTTCCCAACCGGAAAGGAATTTGTCCCCAAGAAAGATTTTTGTTTGACTTTGTATTTTCTATAGTATTATAACCATGCTTTCTAAAACAAATAACTCGCTTTCGAATCCAATACCGAACATGAACGATTTACCGGGCGAGAGGCCGTGGTTCACCATTAGCCTCTTCCCTCCCCCGGGGTAAATATGTAAATCCTATTCCTAATTTTCTTTAGTTCTTTATTATTACTGTAACGCTTATTTATGCGACTTGAACAGCACAAAAGCGGGAGTGTTACTTGCGCATAATACCAGCTAATGATCCATTGAAGATTGAATAAATGAAGTAGTTCCACACATGGTGAGGAAGGAATAAAGAGTTCCAAAATATTCAAAGGAAGGAATACAACAACAAATTGGCATAATGATTGATGCATTAAACTTGAACTATGTTAATAACAAAGAACGAAACTCGATGGTTAAACGCCATAGGGTCCAAAGCCCAACCTAGGGTGAAGTAAATCTGGTAGGCAATGCTGAACTATAGAGATTTCATTTCTTCCAAAAAAGTATCACTTTACATAAAATTAAATATTAGTGGCCGCTTGTGCAGATTCTTGTTCAGAGTGTAATATGTATAGGAAAGTCACACAGGTTTGCTGAAAACCGACGCAGACAACAATTATTATAGGAGGATATATACAGGGTGTCCAAAATATTCTGCCCAATTTCATAGTAATAACATTTGAGAATGTATGTCTTTGTTTATTTCTAGTTCTTATTGTGCTTGTAGTTCTCATTTATCACACAATAAAATTTATTTGAACTTACAATTGTTATCACTATAAAGTGTGGCAAAATTTTTACTTATTGTCACTATAAAATCAGGCGAAATTTTTTAAACACCGTGTATGTAGTGAGTATGCACTAATGTCTTCACCATATGATGCCCCGATGAATTTTTCTGTATAGAAACTCAAAGTGCCGACAAAATACATCATTCTGGAAACATCGGTTGTGCTCGATATCCTCAACATATCACTCATAATATATAGCAATAACAATACAAACTAACTTCTTCTCCATGTTCGAAGCTTCCCATCATCGCTTTTAATGACTTAACAATCTGGGCCTTAGTTTGAGCAGCGTTCGGCACTCCTTGCATGCCTTCTCCCTCAAGTAGTCGAAGTAGGAATGGAATCAAATCTGCATTGAGGACCTGGACAGAAACTGTTCATTAAAAACAAGAATAAAATATCCCTTTTCACCCAAATAGAGGGGTATATTAAACTTTTTTAGAAAAATCAAAATATAACCAGTGGTATAGCCAGAAATATAGCCAGAACGCACCAGAATGGCGTTCCAGTTGTTGGACATTTTACAACATTTGCGTTCCTGTTGTTGAAATAAAATTGTGGTACAAAAAAATCTAGTTTCTATGGTATACTTAGTTATTAATTTATGTTTTGTTACATCATATTGAGTCTTTTTACATCACATCACACAAATAATTATTAAGTAACGTGTAATAGATGTTTCCCTGACCTTTGACCCCATTCTATAGTCTATACCTATCTGTATTGAATTGCTATGAATACTATTATAATTTTACACAAACATATTTCATATAATTTCTTTGCAGTTCTGTAAACGTCCGCGTCATGTTGTGAATATATTACATTTTTGCGAATTAGGTGCGTTCCGGTTGTTACGATTTTTCCAGCTCATCACTGGATATAACTATAGAGATATCTTATATAATGCATTATTTGCTGGTTGATATATCTTGTTCTGTCACAAGAAGTTAGACTATGATCTAATAAAAGCTCGCAAAAATACTTGCTATTTCATGGAAAGACATTACGTTAAATTCTTATTTATCACTTTGATGCTATCTTGTTAAAGCTTTATTCGATATGCCACATATGAACTTTGAGTAAGAAGGGAAGAGATGGCCTGCAGTTCAATGTACTTTATTAAGAATTAGTTATTGAATTTGCAATGATCAATGTGATACATAGAAATTTCACTAGAGTATTTTGCTATTTCGAAAACACCCATGATTTGAGCCTGCGTTATTATGTTCAGGTGTTCGCAATAGCCCACAAAAAAGGGTAAAACTAGTGACACGACTAAATTATATGCCAAACCACAGCATCTCATTTGGTAATTAGCTTTGCACAATGGCCAACAATACCCATCAAGCTAACATTTGACCTTTCAGCCCTCATCCATATCTATTCAAGTACTTTATCTACCTGTTGTATGAGTTGAGGGCTCTGGTCCACTGTGAACATTTTATGCATGGCATCACATGCTATTCCGATCTGATCTGGTCTGGTTTTCATACCACGCATGAGTGGTCGTATGCATTCAGTCAAGGCATAAGCATGGACACAACTCTAAAATGGATTTATAGAAAATAAAAGTTAATTTTAAGCACTGTAGAAAATTTCAAATACGAAAGACTGACTTCACAAAAATCAGTAAATATCGAGACCTTCAACTAGAGTTAAAGACAGAATTATACAACAATGAGTGAATAGAAGTAAAAACCAATTTGTTCACAAAAAAATGACAATTCAATAAAAAAAAAATTGTGAATTATTGAGAAGGCAACGGAGAAGTAAGACAAGTAACAATAATACTAAAAAGAAAATAAGAGACATTTAATAATATACAATAATCTCATTATAGATATAGTAATACGTGAATTTTACTCTTCTATCAAATTTGAACTCGTCAAGGTTATATTGAAAACAGTTACAGCATACTTTTTTCATAAAAAAAACAAACGACAGCAATAATGATATTAAAGTCTTTTAATTATTATTGAGATAAACAAAAAAAAACTAATTTTATGTAGGAAGGCATAAAAACAACCAAGTGCTAAGGTTTGAAATACTGCACACCTCATTATCTGACAGTATATGAATCACTGCAATGCAGGCTTTCGGTACGGCATCATTTTTACTGGCCATGTATTTGAACACAGTTGGTAGATGCCCAAGTGTTGGAACTTGTTCTGCAAGTGCTGGTTGAGAAGTGAACAGACAGCAAATGGCTTGTGTGACTGTTTCAAGAGCTTCACCCTGAAATAAGAATTATGTTCACATTATGAAGACCAGACGTGGGCAAATTAAGGAGCCGGACCACCGAAGTGTTACGGGGAAAATATATCCTATTGTTTAGACTAATTGCTACACACTAACATATATGTCCCTCTGTTAGCATGCAAGACGACTTTTCATCCAGCCCACATGTGCAAGCTTCTTGAGCCATTTAGTAAACTAGAATTTATTGTACATCGGCTGTTACGTCAGATATTTGCCAATAAACTGTTTTTGTTCATAGATTCATATTGAGTTTTGAGCCTCTCTGGCCCAGTAAGCAAGTCTATTATCTGTAACTGGCCCATTCAGAGCTAGTTCTAATAATTGTGTTTCGAATCAAAAGCTCAAATAAGTACAGCGGATATAGAATTTGTGTGAAATTGCTGCACTTTTGACGGCCTCAAAAATTTGTTGCCGGACGCCCAGTTTGGGAAGCCCTGGAATCAGGCATAAGAAGAGATATGTTACCTGATATCCCGGGTTTGAAACCAGCTTTGTAAATTTCTCCATGATTTCTACTGTGAACTCTCTCGGTTTTCTTAACACCCATCCTGGTTGAGCGATGAACAAACGAAGATACACTCCTGCCACCTAGAAACGAACAGAACAATAGAACGTACTAAAATTTCAATAACAAAAATTTCCTCTTTCAATCCAACGCTAATTGCTAAAATAACATGAAATCGAGTACCAGACATTGTCTTAGTTCAGTGATAATTCCCCATGATAAAAACTACACGATACTAACCAAAGAATATAAGAATTGCAAAAAAAAATCCAAATTTCTTACTTATGCTCAAATACCTATGACCCACCCAATCACAGTCTCATTTTTTCACAAAATATGTGTGAGCCAATATGATTTACAACCTCTAGCAACGATGCTAGATCAGAGTGGTCCAAGGTTTGCGAGATTGAAGGGACGCAAAATATTTTTGAGTAAGCCTTGCAGGCCGCAGTTGGGAAAACCCAAAAGTGATCAAAATGCTGCGAGTTTACTCACTTCAATAATAATCAATCATGACATCGGAATTAGGAAAAGGGTTTAAATCTTGAGATCCCAGCCCGAGTTGGAATAGCTAAAAAATGTTATGCCAATGAATACAAATATCTGTATGCTATAACTGTTCTGTGGGCCGCACAGAATGTGACTGCGATCCGCGTGCTAAGGTTCGGACCATCCTATGCTAGATAGTTTGTTTAGTATAAACCCAATCTGACACCTATGCTAGATAGTTTGTTTAGTATAAACCCAATCTGACAATCATCTTAATTGTTTCACTTACCACGACCTCTCCTACTGCTTCATTAACAAATGCAGAAACATAATCATCAGGGAGTTTCCATGTTAGGTCAGGATTTAGTGTCTGCTTCTTGTAGTGTCTAAAATATAAAGTAAATTCATCATTAAGGTTACAGACAAAATATCAGGATAATCTCCATTCTGCAGTTTAATTCACATAGAATTGGCATTCGGCACAATATATAACATCATATTCATGAACCACAATTAAAAAAAACTGTGGATCGATTTGTTGAATTCATAAAGAAACTTTTTTATTAATTATTGGACCAATTGAAATTTTGAGGGGTAAAAGATTGCTGTTGTCACTAGAAGGCTTTTATTTTTTTTCGGCACTATGACATTTGTTTTTATTTAGAAGTTAAGTGTGGCGATGTCACTTCCATTTATTTCAAAAATTTCAGTAGGCTTTATGGGATTCGTTCTTTACTTTGAGAATTTTGTGTGATGACTTCATCAAAATCAAAAATTTTGCACTGAGTGTCTGAGTGGCAGTTCGGCAACCACATTTTGACAATCTGGACTCTGGAGATCAGTGAAGGTAAGAGTATTTTGAAAGGAAAAAGTACTGGTATCGGTTCTCTGAAAGGTTTGCAACTGCTTTATTTCGAGCTTCGTACCTGGATATTTGCGCATAGTTTTTTTATCTTTAGATGTTTTCACTTGTTCCCAACAAAAGTCAAAAAAAACTTACTCTAAAGCCATATTCTTGACAGTAGAGCAGACTTTTTCTCTGGCTTCATCATTCCAGATGAGTTCAGGGTTTTCATGCGTTCCTTCAAACATATGAACGGCGGCCTCGGGTGAGTCTCTCATCGCATCCATGAATATGGAGGGTAAGAATTTGCTCAGAAGAATTCGGATCTAGAAATATTGAGAAAAAATTTTTACATATGGGAAGAGAATGTTTTGGCCATTAAACTAAAAAAGGGCGGCGGGCAGTTATGATGAAAATTTCTAAGCTAATACTTGTTCGTCTCAAATATAAAAATGGTCAAACCTAATCTAAGTTGTAACGATTATTACTGGACTATTGCATATTTGTAGCAGTGTTATTTTCATATAGAATTTAGTAATGTACGCATGCACTTGCATTAAACCAATGGGCAGCGAGTGTTTGGGTTTGAAACACAACAAATACTAATATAATTTAAGCTGATTCATAGTAACCTCACCCCATTAAACTGTATTTTAGATATTCATATACAAGTTCAAAACTGTGAAAATTTTTCTAGTCCAGTTGAGACAGCTTGATTGTGCGTTTTATTTTTATTTATATATGCTGGAAACCAACCAGTGCCTTTAATGATTGATATAAATGTAACTTGGAATTAATATTACAAAGACATTATGAAACAATCTTTGGCTATGTATGAATTATAGATACATAAACCTAAACAAAAAAATATAGAAAAAAAAATAAAAATACCTTAGGTCCTGTCAACTTATCAGAAGACAGCTTTGCAAACAGATCAGCTGTTTGTTCACGGACAGAAGGAGTTGTGGAATTGCAGAATAAATCAAGCAAGTAGATTAATCCACCTATAAAACAAGATGATAACTTTTAGTATATTTTTCTCAATCTTCAGCAAATTGATGAACCAAGTAGATTCTGCTAACCCAATGTATGAGCTAGAACTGGGTGTTTTTCGAATCTCTAATATAGAATAGATTGTATTTTTATGTGTTAAAGTTAATAAATAAATTCTTCGAAACAAAAGTGACAAGTGGCATCAAGCAAATTAAGATCCACTTCTTCAAGTGGGGGTTGGACATTGATAATTTTTCAAATCCTCTAGCTGGGAGTCAAACTTTACCAATTTAAATGACAACATCACATTTTTTATATTAGCAAAAAGCCAAAGTACGATACAACACTCCCCAGACCAACTCGCACTAACCCGAAGTCACCTAAAAGTTTGAAAAATTGTAACATTTCGCAACATTACCTTGTTCTAAAACTTCTTTAACAATCTTAGTATTGGATGCAAGAGCATGTAAAGTTACAAGTATGAGTCCCCTGCCAGCTGGCAATGATTCCAGTGTTAGCAACAGTAAAGAAGTAATTTTTGAATCCGCGATGTTTTGAACGCATTCTCTGTTGCCGGTAACTCCACTTAGCACCTGGATGAATGCAATGAATATAATTAAATAGGAAAAGTTAATATACAGGTGTCCATAAAGTCCCTTTACAATTTCAATTTTGTTATGAAGTCAGTTGTCAATATATCTCAACCGGGTTTGTTGTTTAAGCGATTTTACCTCATTTTATACATCTGTGTGGACCAAAACAATACATTGAATCGATAAATACCATTTGCAATTTAAAATTTTTCAGGACTTTTGGACACGCTATAAATGAAGAGGTTTCAAATACCTGTAAAAATTAATTTCAATTCGACCTCTTGCCTAGTATCTTGCATTCTGCCAAATACAGGCACCTCTTAACAATACATTTACATGCAGAGTTCTTATTGTGTTAGTGATTGGGAAAATACTATAATAAAACTGTGAATTTGAAAAACTGGCATCATGGTAACAAAAAATCATTTTTTTACGCCAGATAGCTCGACACATAACAATTTATCATTGCGACAATGAAACTACTCGTACAGACAAAATAAATTTAATTTGTAGATAGCTTATGTAACATTTATTGCCAATTCGATATCCCTCTTGGGTAATGTAACTAATAAATTCACCTCTAAAGCTACCAGCTGCATCTTGGAAGCATTATCCACTCTCAGAAGTGAAAATATCAACTTGAAATGACCAATGCAAACTGCTTCTGTGCCTGTGAGAAACAAAAATGTTTCAGGAACAGCTAAGCCTGATATTTTAAAATGTACATTAAGATATGCTTTTCATATTCATCCCTGAGCCCGTGTCTTCTAGTCTGGTTACCAATACATGCCGGTTATAGGAATAGTTAACCATTTATTTGTTTAAGATGGATGGACTTGAAGGAGAAAGCTGGTACTTCCCATCAGTAATGTGGACCAAATAATATTGGAGAGGAAAATCGATAAGCTGGCTCAATCATAGGACTCTTGTCAGGTCGTAGTCCATGTCTAGTATGGGAATAGTTAACCGGTTATTTGTTTTGGATGAATGGACTTGGAGATGGAGAAAGCATAACTGACAAATTCTACAATGATGAGGCGAGAAGTTCCCTGGCGTACATAATTAATTAGCCCTCATCGTATTTGAAAATGCGAGCCTCTACAAAATAATAAGAAGCATGACAAGCGAGCTCATAAATCTTATAACCACAAATGAACTGCCGTCAATCATATTCTCCGGGATGCGCTGTACATAGTATTCAACAACAAATCCTTGTTTAGAGCAAAAATGTGCTGCCTGAATAGTTCCTGCTGTCATGCTCCAAGGAAAAGAAATACTTCATAAAAATTCAAATTTCAAGACAATTTTCTTAATGCAAGGTCACAGGTAATGACTCAAAAGTAAAGGAGATTCATCTTCGAATTAAGTTAAGAATGACCACTAAAGTGCTAAAAGCTACCAAATCTACATAAAATTATGGCAGTGAAATGTGCGTTAGTAAAAATCGATTTACCAGAGACTCAAAAGAGTTCAAATGAACATGAAAACATCTTCGAAGCAGTGAATTCAGCATTTATAGACTACAATATAAAGATACCAACCAGGGCAGTTCTTGATCACATTCGATAAAGCTTGAAGAGCAGCTTCACAATTCGCAAGTCGATCGTTAGAGACAGATTTTGCAGGCACAAGTGGCTTCGTAGCGTTCTTATCCATGCTGATCAAATCTGATTGGCCTGTCGGTTTCAGTTTCGTAGGCTTGAGTGGAATAGGTGGATGGCCTTGTTCCTTGCGTAGTCTCTGTTCACCATTTGGGATTTGTTGTTGGTTTAGTGCCATTAAACTTAGGACATACTATTTTTGGGAATTGATCACATCAAATTATTATCATTTATTGTTTTACAGGTGATATGTTGAAATCATTTATTAAAATTCATGAATTGTGTTGAGTGATTTTACAAGTTTATTAATTTAGTTTTCATGTAATTTATTCGTTTCATTAATAATTAGTAGCAAAATTGCATCAATACATAACAATTTATTATTTTCAAAAATGGTGAGTATCAAATATTTATCAAAATACATGAATTCCGTTGGAAGTAATTTTACAGAAATGCATTATTTGCAATATTCAATATAATTAGTAATACCAAATTTTGTGAAAATCAAAATTGGTAGTTCCATTACAATTAGTTTGTCCAATATATTTATATAAGCCATTAAAAAACAAAAGAATCGCAGAATTGACAATCAAAAATCAACAAAGAAAATTTAATTAAAATTATTCCAATATTAAATTAGTGTGATTATTAATAAATGATAAAGTGAGTGTTATAACAAAAAGCAAACGAAAAGTGATAAAAATATGAAGCAAAATTATATGAAAGAAGAATTTAGAAAAAAGAAATCAATTAATTGTAAATTCCACAGAAATTAAAGGTTGTTACAGTCAAATAATGAGAAAAAATTTCCTTGGACAAGTTCAACAAAATGAGGAAAGGAAAAAGAAATATTTGAGTTTAGGAAAAAGATGTGATTGCAAAATAATGAGGAACGAAAAAGTGTTAGAGTTATATCCGAAAGGGGATAAAAACATGTCGACATAAATTAGCCACAAAAGAACATCCACGAGAGTGTGGTTGCAAAAGAACATGGAATAATGATAAAAGGTTAGAGTTTTATCCAAAAGGAGAATAGCGAGATAAAAATATGTCGCCACAAAGAAAAATTTTATGAGAATGTTGTGTAAAGAGAAAAAAGGAAATGATGATGGAATAACAATGTTACATGCAAAAATGGTCACCAGGGAAGTGAGAGAGCCAGTAGAGTGCCGTTGGGGAAAATAGAGTAAGAGATATAGAAAGTGTAGTTGCATAAAAAAAGTTGGCAATATTTTTTTCATAAGACAGTGTTACATGCAGAGGGTATAAAAAAAATAATGGATAAAGGCAATTCAATGCCACCAATAGGTTAGAGAACAAGAAAATTGATCGAAACAACGTAATCGCAGAAAAACAAGAAAAAAATGAGTTACAAGGAAAGGAGCAGAATAGTCAAAGTTTCATTCAAAATTGGCCAACAGCAAGGTACAATAGAAAGGTGCAAATAAAGTACAATAGAATGGATATGATGTGCAATTTAAAACAAAATAGAAGAGAGGAGAAACATGCAAAAAGTTCAGGTTTTGTCACCATGCATCCATGTGTCGAAGTTCAGAGTTCATAGGTCATCCATTGCAGTGAATTGACAGCAGCAAATATGAGAATAAATTTATTTTAATTAGAAAGACTCAATTGCTATTATTTTAAAATCAGAGTATTTTGATCATTTTAATATAAGATATTATAAGCATAGATTCTATGTGTATTGACAATACAAGCAAATTTAATATAGCAATTTACATATTTATCTTAGTGTAGAGGTGACGTTGCCGGCCCATATTGAGTATGGAAATAGTTAAACAGTTAATATTTAAGATGCATGAACAGCTGGCAGGAATGGACAAAACTGATTAGTTTAAAATGCCTTAGTTATGAAAACTCAACAGCAAATAGAGATGGACAGAGGGCCATCGGGTAGTAATATTCAATGTAGAAACATATGAATGTTCTAAATTGCCATTTTGTAAGATAATTTGTCCATATCAACCACTTAAATGCCAAGAGATTGCAATCATTAGATTCAAGATGATGATATTTCCGGCTAGGGTTCCAAATAGCGACTGTCAATAGAGCGACCACACGACAGCGATTAATTTAAAACAGCGACTGTCAATAGAGCGACTACACAACAGCGATTCATTTAAAACAGCGATCAGTCGATCACTTGATTACGTCGCCATTATGACAGTCACTGTTTTGACAGTCGCTATCCGGCATGGATACCAATATTTCCGCTGATTAATTGTCTTGATCAGTCTAATTAACCTCATATTCATATGTCATTCACAAGAATCTAGTCAAAATCATTCAATTGCAACATACAAAATGCGGCAAAACGCTACAATATTTAACTTTACCATCAAAACACACTACCACTCAAAATATTACAATTTCAAGGACAGAAAAACGGAAAACTGAATTGCAATGATTGTTACTGTTATCACTAAATAATTGGGTCTCTAGAGCTCGGGAAAAAGTTGAAGCACTCATAAATGACGTAAAAAAATCTTTGTTTACCGTTCTCAGTAATTACCAAAACCTTTTGAGCCATAATAAACATAAATTGTATTCATCTGGCTTTATGACAGACCTTAGCTACCTCAGACAAACGCACAGACTACTGATATTGTTTTGCTATAACCTATAAGGCTTTTATTCTCACTTCACACATACACAAACAAACACACAAGTATATAATGTTATACATTGAACATTAGAAACTGACCTCGGCCTGTGATCCCAGGTAATCCAGAAGTTTCTTTGCAAAAGTATGAGGTTCCTGAATTGGAAGCAGTAATTAGTAATGGAAAAGAAGGTTGGTTGAGTGGACAGTTTTAAAAATGTGGTCGTTCTTAGAGCAGTAAATTACTGGACCAATCGTTTCAGAAGAGAGATATATATATATATATGAGTGGTACCTGAAAGAATTACTTCCTAAACAATTTGCGGATCAACTGAAGAATCTCCACCCCAACTAAGACCATCTAACCCTAACCCTACCAAATAATTAATCCAGGTCAAATGAAAGATCAACTGGTAATATCGACTTAGGTGGGTTTGGGGAGGGAAATATTGTTCAGTTGGGAAACGGGATCAACTGAAGAATCTCCACCCAAACTAAGACCAACTGAAGAATCTCCGTGTATTTATTTATAGCTGATCAATTTTGAGAAAGCTTTGGTTCACGCACAAAGTATTACCGGTATTGTGGAATGGAGGCTATAATAATTACAATGGAAATGGAAAGTTTCAAGTCATCTGGACATACCTACCAGATTCCAGGTTCGGTCAATAATCAGTCAAGAGTAAGGCAATGATCTACATAATGTACAGCGGGGCTGTTCAACTATTTTTAATAGAAGTCTACATATGAAACTTCAAAATTTGCAGGGGCCAGTCTTTTCAGAAAATATAATTCACAGCAGGCCTAAATAGTACCTCGAATAGGCATATTCATGTTTAATTAGGTAACCACAAATATAAGAATCCTTGAAGCCCGATGATGATTAAGCGTTAACCGAGTTAATTTATCATGGAATCACAGCTCTTCGCATATATAGTTTGGTGCAAATATGAGAAAATGATGAAACTAACTCAAACTATAAATAAAAGTATATCCAAATTCAATGGCGTCAATGCAAAACTAAAACAGGAGCGGTCCAAATCGAATCCTGATCTGAATCTGAACCGCGGACTGTCAGTTTGAGTAGTCCTAATGTACACTACATCCTCGACTAGATTTTCTGCTTAGCGAATTTTCTATTCATGGAGGACATGAGATTAGAAAAATAAAATATTCAACACACCATTAAAGGAAACGTAGGTTGTTCATTGTAAATCCTCACAAATATGTCACCGATGATCAACTCCTTACCGTGGACGGTGAACACAAAATCTGACCCAAATGTTGGATCACACTCTCCCTGTGAAAATGAAACCAGGGTTAGCATTTTTATAAAAATTGGTAATTTAAAACAAGACAAGATCGTAATTCATATTAAAAAAAAAAACTCCACAAAAATTAAGCCGATAACAGATTTCTCGATTAAATCGGACGCATAGAGGATTGTTGTTTTTTTAACAAGGTTTTATATTTGTTTCATGACTTTGATGATAGAGGAAGCAGTAACCATCTAGCAATCCTCCCAGTCCTAACACAAAATTATCTTCCAGAAAATTGAAACCGGCGAACTCGCGTAGGGTTTCAGAGGTGCACTGCATTCCATAGAAATAAAATAAAACTTACTGTTCTTATAACCATTCTTTGTTGTTCCTTCAAAAACTCAGTCAGTTCAATTCTTGTAGAATTATCCCATATCAAGTATGGGTTCTCTGTATTGCTGTTAAGGATTTTCAGTACCTATGGAAACAAAAGGTTGAAGTTTAAACCGGGGTAAAAGGTCATACATATTTAAAAGATGATAAAATACCATGTAAGATGGCCTATGGGTTAATTGTTATAGGTTAAGATAGGCTAGATCAGGGGTGGGCAACATACGGCCCGGGCCAGACGAGATTTTGACCCGCTGACAGTACATCAGTACAATATGATATTACAATATTACACTTTTAGTACATTATGATAAATTCATTATGTGTTTTTTGGTCTATTTTTTTTTGTAGTTTAAACTTTACTTTAAACGCAATTTAAAATTTTCTTTTTTTGCATTAGCGACGAAATATGTGATTAAGATATTGAATACTATTCATGTTATAATCCGACCTGCCAAGAACCTCATTTTCCCACATCTGGCCTGTCGACTAGAGAAGTTGCCCACCCCTGGGCTAGATAGATCAAACATCTTTAGTACAAATCCCATGCCCACAACCTTACCCAGGATGTAATAATCGGATAGACAAAGCTGAAATAGAAAGTTTAGTAGCTTCCAAATATAGTAGGTTCTTTCATGGATGTAGATCCTTGTTCCAAGTGAAAGGTGTGAATAAGCATAAGATGTAAAAATACAGAAGATAAACATCCAAAGCATATAATTAGCAACTTAATGATAGTATATAACTACCGGTATGTTTTTAACTTGTTATAAAAGCTACCATAAAGGACAGCCACCATTTGAGGAATTGATTAGTCTACCTCAATCAGAATAAATGCTTTCTGACAGTGGTTTATTGATATATTAGTAAACAAATTAGATATTTCCGACCATGTAGCTCATGGATGGGCACAATTTTAGGACCAAGAGCCAAAATTTTGCCCACCCAGACTGGCGGGCCAAGTAAATGTGATGAAAAAAGTTACATTTCATGAACAATATTTACAATGTTAGTGTTACAAAAGCGAATATGGAGAAAATAGGCCTTGTGCTAAAACCAAATTCAATCGCGATCTCAACAAATTCCTTGAGCTACTTTTTAGCTAAAACATCGAAATTTGGTTTTAGTTTGGTTGTCGCAGAACCAGACAAGCCAGATTGAATTACCCAACAGGCCGGGCCAGATTTGCCCATGTAAGATTTTGCCGTACTTTGCCCATGTAAGATGTAGTAGCTACATATTTCTATGGATTTGTTTGGAGCATGGGTTATAACTAATGCATGTTACAGTTTGTAGCATTTATAATAGAAATCTTAAATATTTTTGTCATATTCGAGGCATTTATCAATGATTGGGGATTTTTGTGAGGAAGAAAAAATAAGTTGTTGCATGGCAAAATAAGAATAACAAAAATAAACAAACATAGTTTATTGAATATAAAGAGGAAAGTGGCGAGAGAATGTAAATTCAGAATATGAATATGTATGATAACATAGAGGGCCTAGGATTCCAAGCTAGTCAGACATAGACACCCATACCAGATATAAAATGAATAAAGTTCATCGATGAATTAGTTCAAGAAATGAAGTATACACCACATAGAGTAATAAAATAAAAAATAAAATATAGATATGGGACTCAGAAGATTTTTCGAATGGTCAAAACAAGTTTTGGAAGTGAGATTCATGGCATAACCAGTGGCCATATGGTTTTCTAGCAAAAGACAACTGGCTCATAATTGATAGTGTGAACAAGTGGAACTAGAACATTCATTACATCCAAGTTAGATGTAGTTAGTTAGAGTACACCAAATAAAACAAAAAAGACTCATGAATAAAAAAATTCACCAAGCATGATTGTAATTCATCATCATTTCAGGAGAAATGATGAATTGAAATCACCGTGAATTGACACCAATTCTCACCTCAGTGAAATTATCCATACGATTCTGTAATTCCAGCAAAATGAGAGAGAAAACCAATAAAATTATTTCATGCTGTGTTAAGTATGGTTACTAGAAAATAATCTTCAAAGTTCTATGGATTTACACAAAAATTCTACTAGACTGACAGAATCAAATCTCTACCACCTAATGAATAAAAAAAAAAGCTATTCAATCAATGTCAACCAACCGTTTTGAAGGGCCAAACGTCTAATTAACAATAAACTAATAAAATTAGAATTTGGGCCTCAGCTTAACCATATAACACCTCTACTCACAGACTGCGAGCTAGACTGAAACAGAAAGTTAACAAATTGCAAAACTTAGAAATTAGGTTTGGGTTCCAGGCACTTTGAAATATACGGTAGCGAATTCTGATTCTCGGCTGTTGGCAGATTTTGAAATTACAATACGCAATCGGATAAGTTAAAAATAAGACTTCAATTTAAACATAAACAAAGACTGTCACCCCCAAGTGCAAATTATAAAATGAGAACCTTGAATACTATAATATTCATATATAGACGATTACCCAGTCAAAAATGAATAGGAAAACACAAAAATGAATAAGAAAACAAAATACAAACCTCTGCATAGTTTCCTTCTCCTAGTTTATTCGCCAAATATCCAGTGATGAGAGCACTGAGGGACTTTTGTACAAGGGGATTTCCCCCTTCTTTTGTGAGGTAACCACCTAAACACGCCAGTGCATGGACAGAGAGACGAGCAAGTCGGTTTGCCATTTCCTGGAAAATGAGGATTAATTCTAGATTCATGGATAGGTTGGCTTTGACAATGGATTAGGAAAAATAAACCATTGGAAAAAATTGTCACCCCTCAAATATAATAGCTATGTATGAGCATTAAAATTGAATTATTGAATACACACACTGCAAACGTATGTCTCAATTTAAAAAGCTCTGGCCTACTTATCCCAATCACATAAATCCGACTTCATTCCCTTATTTACTTGCTTCATAACTAGCCAAACAAAGAAAACTGGTGCAAATGAACCAGAGCAGACAATGCTCAGAAATCGATCAGAGAGTATTTCTGGTAGAGTCAGGTTTTTCCTCTTATATTCTATGTCCAAATGATGAGATTGCCTTTTTAATACTTTTATGTCCAGAGTTTTAAATCACCTCTAAGTTTTAGGCAACTTTCTTGAATTTACGTCTTGTGTCACGTTAATATTTTATACCATGGCTGAGTACAAGATTGGCCAAAGAATTATTTAAAAAAAAAATCAACCTGCTGATTGGACTCTTCACTCTTTGAAACTCCGCCTTCTTCCAATGTGAAGTCATAATTGAATAAATAGAGGAGTAGATGCCAAATGACACCGGATTTGAATAACTGAGTTTGCATTGCCATGTCCATCGCAAAAGCACTCACACACTCGGTGGCAGTTGTGCATAATTTCGGAAGATTCTGAAAATAGTAATTGAATATTGAGATTGAGTAGCCAGATCCATATATTACCCAGTCCAGGCCAATACGATAATGAAAACTGTATTCGGACACAAACAACTGAATCTTATATGTAGAATCTTGTATATGTAGCCTCCAGCATAGCGGTTCTCAAACGCTTGACAAGGAGGGTTTTGTAGACAATTTTTTGAGGGAGCATGATGCTAATTAAAAAAAAAATATTAGTTAGATTAGATCTTGCCCGCTTTATTTTGGATATTTACATTCTTTTTATTGTTTACATTTATTTCTTTATTGTTTACATTTCTTCATTATGTACACATATTTTCAAATTGTTTTTTGATAAAACATACTTTCGTCTTACTATCTGTTATTTGTGACTTATTGTTTGCTAGTTATCTTGAGGTGGGGCGCAAGACTTGACAAATTCGGAAAAGGGGGCAAGGCTTAAAAAGTTCAATAAACACTGCCTGGCACAAATAAATACAAAAAAGTGTTAAGCCTCACGTCAACCGTCATTTACAAGTACAGAATGCAATACAGTATCTCTGTAGCTTTTGGCATTCCAGGGGCAATCATGGCTTTGCTAAAAAGTAGATTAGTCTGTACTCCCGTAGTGTGTGTACCAGGATAGGATAAGGCCATAATTTTATTCCAATTTTCCTTATTTTAGTTCTATTACAAGTTTGCGGACTGTTCGTGTTAGACAAGTTAATATACCCCCTGCCCATAAGTTTCAGTCCCTTTACACAACTTGATGTAAAGTTGGTGAACAAAATTAGTCCCCTCCATAATGGTACACACACTTCTGGAGCGCCGATTAGTCTACCTTTATACTATTTCTTTGAGCGAATTTTCAATTCAGAAAGCAACCATACCTTATAATATAATATTCTGCAGACATCTCTGACGATCGTAGGATCCTCAACAAACTTCTCCCGACATTGTTCGAACTGGGCAGCGACAGTATAACACTTGCATATGTACATACACACTCGTACAGCAACATCTGTAGGCTGAGAAGAGTTGCTCAACATTGCAACGCAACGAGTAAATGCTGCTTGGAGAATCTGGAAATAAGAGTGTAAGATTAGATCGGAATTTCTGAAACTGACCGCTCAGCCACCCCACGGCAGCACACGAATGGTTTTCTGGGGGCCGAATGTTAAGCCATTTGCCCATGGCTGTAATGACCAAGGGCCAAATTTGAAGCGGGAGTATAATCGCGGGCCGAAAGAGGGGTCGGCACACAAGCGCGCTGAGAAAATTATGAAGAATAGGCATTAAAATAGGCTTCAAGATTGATTTCAGATTTAGATGGTTTGTATTGTTATACAAAAATCATCTCAATGTATATATATATATAAAACGAAATGCCAACATAATAAACTGTGATAACGACGTAACAACTGCGGCATCCAGAATGCAAAAATGTAATAACATAAAGTGTTTCACTTTTCACTATTACACTATTTCACTTAAGTTTGGCGGGCCATATTAAATATGCGGGCTGTAATTGGCCCACGGGCCACGGTTTGCGGACCACTGCTGTAATGCGTTTATTCTTTCGCTCATGTTTGTTGGCTTGTTTATCATTAAATGTCGCAATACCAACACAGAAGAGTGAAATGCTTCAACTGCTAGGCCATCCCGCTTTTATTTTGAAATGCTAATTCAAAATTCTTCCAGAAAAATCAAATTTTGCCATATCAGAGTCAAAAATTAAAGAAAATCATTTATTAACCTACCTCTAAACCACTCTCTCTTCTCAATTCCTCAGCGTTCAATGCTGAACAGTTGACAGTATGATAAGCTAGTTCTGTAGCTTCTGGCAACAGAGGAGATTCCTTGCTGAATAATTTATCATCTGTCGTTTCCATTTTTATTGTTTTGATCAACGCAGGATAACCAGCATATTTGTATGGCTCAAGTTCTGGTGAAAAAATCAAGAGCTTAGATATTTCCTAATGCTTATTAGAAGCTTGTTGTCTGAATTTTGAATACACTACATGGCTTCACAGGTTTTAAATCTTGTATGGAATATATGGAAAGGATTGCTGGACTTGGAACTCGCTGCCATAGAACAGTAGATATCAGTCCTTTTATCACTACAAAAGCAGATTATCTATCATGAGTAGTTGGAACTGGGATGAGAATTTTGGGGCATAAGCTTGGTGTATTTTTCTAATCCAGCTGTTAGAGAAAAGGGTAGTAAGTTACCTCAGTTCAAAAAACCAGTCAATTGTTGGTACTCCCAAAGTATGTGAACCAAATGGCGGGCACTGGAACGTAGTATATGTACCAGGTTGGGGTTAGGCCATAATTTCAGGTATAAATACTAAAGGAGTCTTTTGGCTAATCCCCCAACTCGTAAAAGAACTAAAATAAGGAATTTAGAATAAAATTATGACCTGGTACACATACTACGTACCAATCTCCCCCATCTTGTTTCACATACTACAGAAGTACCCAATAGTCTGTATAATAAAGTTTTAAATCACAAAGTAACTCAAAGAAACCAAGCTTAATCAAATGTGATCAGTATAGTATTATTCAACACAAAAGCAACAAACCTTCTTTATATCTGCTGAACAAGATGCTCTGAGTCTTCAAGACAAGTAAAATATTCTCTGGGTCAGGCCCATCTATTGCACGTTTCTTTTTCTTGGCGCATAGGAATTCATACGCTTTGTTTACTGCTTCAAATATATCCTAAAAAATCGAGGAGTTGATTCAAGTGAGAGGGTGCGAATGTCAGTGAAAAAGCATGAAGAGCTGTTATGGCTAGTATGACAGATTTAACTTGACTTAAGATTTACAGAATAGAATTTACATATTTGTCCAGAGGGTGAAGAAAGACGATAAAGACTTGTCAAGGCAAGCGATGAGTTCAAACTCATGAAGACTTACCCTTCCTTCTGGGTTTTTGTCAGGATGGTATTTCTGTGCCATTCTGAAATATGCTTTGCGGATTTTGCTCTCGTTTATCCTGAAAATAGAAATACACTGCTAGTATGATTTTAAATATTAAGTTTGATATTATCTGAGACAAAAATCATAAAAATGAATACTGCGTTGTCTTCTAGGTGAGATATATAGGTAGATAGGAACAGAGGTGGAATGGCTTTGTTAGCTTGAAAAATTCAACTGCTCTCGAACAGATCAGATAGATCTAATGCAATTCCAACTAGAACAGCCTTATTTATTATTATTATTAACTCCTTGTCCAGAACTTTAAACATAGTGGATATATTAAGGACAGATGGATCAATTAACAAGTAAGAGTTGCGGGTAAGAAGCCACCTATGGCCCTCGCTAACAAACAGAAACGATAAATGTAAGAAATGTTTGTGTTACAGTAATTTTGTTTTCTTTCTGCACCTTTCTTAGGCGTGTGGCGTGTTAAGATTCGTAGCGATTTATAAGACTGTGTTAATACAGCGTTATTTCTTTCCTTGAAACAGACATGGAACGAAATTAACTGCCCTTGTGGGCGATCAAAGGAAATTGTTTTATGCATTGTTTTATTTTCTCACAAACGTGAGAACTGTTTGTGTACAGTAATTTTGCTCTCTTTCTACATTTTTCTCAAGGCGTCCGGCGTGTAAATATTCGAAGGACTGAATTATTCGCGAATTTTTATAAAATCGCCGTTTTACGGCCGTTTTTAGGGAGCTGACCTATTCGCGAGATAGGCGTAATTTCGAGAAAATACGGTAATATGAAAATTTAACAACTAAACAATAGTTTATTATCAACAGAATTGAGTGTATTAAACTACAAAATGAGGAATTTAAATCCAGGAAGCAATATTTGAGCAGAATAGAAGACTCAACAGGTTTTACATATTTATCCCGAGAGAGAGAAAAGACGATAAGACAGCTTAGGCATATGGCGAATCACGGCCTCTTGTTCGGTTACCAGTCTATGTCCGGAATAGTTAGCCAGTTATTAGTTTTTGGAAGCATGGACTTGTTGGTGGAGCAAGCGGTAACCTGCGAACCCATGAAGGGTAATCAGAGGTCTGCTGACGGGCGTATCCCTTCGGCTTTGCACGATGCGTCACATCGCTGAGCCGATAGATATTAAATACCCTTTCAGCACAAGTCTTGTCTCAAGCACCTAGCCTTGTTAGGCCTGTCTGCCTAATTCACCATATATAATAGATATAACAAAGAAACATCACTTACGGGCCTTGATTTTTTGGCAACCTGAGAACCTCATAAGCATCATCCTCAGACATTGTTGGAGGTTTCTTCTCAACTTCCTTTTTCCAGGCTTCCAGAACGTCTTTCAGAAGTTTGATCTGACAGAAACAAGAGAGCGATACTTGATAAAGAACAATGCTTAATTCTATGGACAAGAAGGTCATATGTCTATCTTAACGTCAGCATTTTTTCTATATGACATATTTATTTTGCTCCAAACAGGACTCAAGCAGTTACTGCTAAGTTGTTAGCTACTTTATTTTGGGGGGGGGGGACTGAAATCACTTTATAAGCACTTTATATATAAGCCATAAGGGCCCAGATGGCCCACCTTACCCAGAGTGCAGAAAAATTGAGTAGGTACGGTCCATAACCTGAATATTTCAATCGTTCTGAAATAGTAGCCCCTACACAAGAGCTGTTGCTTGCACAGAGCTGAGTGAAAATACGAAGATGGAATGCAAAATAAGATGGGGAAGATCCAACATATCTAACAAATATTTTTATTTTCAATTAACTTCCTGCCCCCTCAAAAAATTGTCTATGTTCCCATTGTAAGGCGCGCCTCACCGTTTGAGAACCACTGTACTGTACAATTAAAGAATCACCGCCCTAACTTAGAGCCATAAAATAATTTAGTCAACTTGCAACCATTAATTAAACTATTTAGTCTACTCACCGGATCTTTGATTGGCCATTCAGGGAATTTCGTTTGATCACAGAGATGTCTAAGATAATACATGTTGCAGAACAATTCTTCCTCTAGTTGTGGATAACTTATAGATGGAATGGGAACGTACTGGTACAGCGCTCTGGTGTTGCTCATCAAACGTGGACTGAAATCTGCGACATGGGCTGCGATCTTTTCAATCAGATAACGTCTGAAATTAATTTGAAAAAGTTTTGATTGTTTTTAAAGACTGGTTTGAAAGTTAAAAACAATTCACATCCATGACTAGAATTTTTTTTTTTTCATTGTTTGGATTGTATATTTTGGCATTTTTTGACGAGTAAAGTACTGTCATAAATCAATAAAGTTCATTAGCTCTTGTCATTTCAGTTGCCACCCATACTTGAGAATGTTAAAATTACTATTTTTTTTAATTTTTTAGATTTGTTTGTAACTAAAATTATTTTAAAAATATTGGCAATTCGTACAGCAGCACATGCTTCATCACTTTTCATTATTTAGTTTCAAGTCTAATCTGTCAAAGCAGTTTTAGTTGCCTGCTTCTGCACTGGTTGGCAATAAGCATATCTGGTTGTAATCATGTGTATTCAAGTATATTCTGATGTTGAATGGCTAATTAAGCAGGTGATAAGCCCTCCATTGGGAAATAAATGTATGTCTGAGTACGTAGTAACTAGCATGGCCCGAAAATAAACCAATACTTTTTCAGCAGAACCCTGCCACTATAGATTTTAGATAAAAGCAATAAATTCGCAATCACAAACCTCATTTCACTGTTCCAGATAGCTTCTGGGGTATCGAACTCTCCCAGGAATATTTCAGCAAACTTTTCAGCACCATAATTCTCAAGGTAATGTATCATGGCTTCAGGTAGCAATGCACCAAGGATTGAGTGGCTGACCATGTCAGAGACATTCTGAAAACAGAAATACACATTTTTTTGAATGTAGCCCGCGGATCCGAAATTGCACATCACAGCACACTATATTTTAATTTTATCTTTGTAATTAGAACTTGACATGAAACGATCATCGCTCCAGAAGTATGTGTATCAATATAGAGGTAACTAATTTTGTTCGCCTATTTTACATCAAGTTGTTTGAAAGGACGGAAGCCTATGGGCAGTGGGTATATTCACTTGACTAAGACAGACAGTCCCGGAACTCGTAATAGAACTAAAATAAAGAAAATCGGAATAAAATTATGGCCTAAACCTAAACTGGGTACACATACTACGGGAGTACTGAATGATGAAATAAAAATTAGCATTGAGAATCGACCATATCAGGCATTCAGGAGTTTTATGATTGTTAATGTGGGCAAGAACAAGCTCACAAAATTCATTGATAAATGTATATGATTGTGAAAACGTTTTTGTCTCAAACTAATATTTTCAGAGAACAACTTTCTTTTCAACGCATCAGTACATCAGTACATACAATACTGAACTTTGAGTACAATATAGAATAAGAACATCTATCTTTAAATATTACCAAAAAAAAGTTTAAAAAACCAACTTCACAATTCAACATTTACCTCATCAGATGTCCTGAATGCTTGTTTCAAATGCAAATATTTCAAAAACTTTCCAATTGGGATCACATTGGAGCCGGTGTACATTAGGATGAAGAAGAAGACACCTGGAAACAAAATATAGAATATTTAGAATATTGTTTTATTGTTACGAGGCAATTTCTCATCTGCACTCTGGACAAGGCCCTGTACGAGGATTGGGTTCACATAATTATCATGGAGGAGAGGAAAAATGGTAAGACGGCTTAATCAAATGGAGATCACGGTTTCACGTCCGGTTACCAACCCATGTCGGGCATGGAATCAGTTATTTGTTTAAAATGCATGGACTTCATGGAGGATCAAGCAGTAACAGACTACCTGTTGCTTGAACCACCCTGTGGCGGCAAGGATGTATTCTTAATGCCTAGCTCGATTTTTCTGGTTTTGCACTACCTACCCAATTTCTTACAGTGGGTGAAGTGGTGGGCAGAGGAACGTAGTCAAATATTGCAATCCACCATTCCATAACCTTATACCCAGGGGTGGGATTCAAATTTTTTGTCAGCAGGTTCTTTCACAAAAGTCATAATTCTAACCGGTTCGCTGATCGAATAAAATTCTGTGAAACGGTTCTATAGAACTGGTGCGAACCGGCTGAATCCCACCACTGCTTATACCTCATATTTATATCAGTTCGGGAGCTGGATCAACCCCTTAGCCAGTGCCTTGAGATGAACTTACAAATAAAATTATGAAGCACAAATCCCACTTACCAGTTAAATACATTCTAGAAAGCATAGGATTATCTTCAATGACATGTTGCAATACAACTGCAGTTTTCTCAACAAGTATGGGGTCAAAGGTCAAGAGAAGCTATAAACAAAAAGTAGAGGTTGAAATAGATTAAAACTTCCAAGTTTTTAGTAAGAAAAGTTCACTAACAGAATTAGCATGTCGTTCACAGCATTGTCGCAAAAATGAAATGGCTTTGGAGATCTTTGAAGTGACAAATTCACACATTTTCCTTCACCCAAGACAGATAAAAAAGATATTGATAAAAATTTAGGCAAATTAAGACTGCTGAATTGGTTGTTAAGAAAGCTTGTTCTTGAGCAAGGTTCCCAATATTGAATTCAAAATAACCTGCGCTGTATGAGAAATTAAATAATACCTGCACTATATGGGGAAGACACACAGTTTCACTTAGCAACCTTTTCGCTCTTGGTAGTGGACGAATCACAGCATTATCTGCATCTCTGAAATACAAAAAATATTGTTACAAGCGAACATATTGATCAAGAATTGGACCAAGGAAGCAATGAATGTTTGCTAGAGTCTCAGCCCAGGTTTTATTACCAGACCCCAAAAACTCTGCTTTTGAAGAAGTCTGTGAAACTTGAAATCAAGTTTTTTGGGTGAATTCTGGGCTTCCAGTACTATATAAATCAGCGATTCCCAACTGGGAGCCCGCCGCCTCCAAAGGTGCCACAGACCGAGTTTCAAAATGCTTGACCCAAAACTAATTTTACTTTTTTCTTGATAAGAAAACTTCTGTTCTTCGTAGTTTCATTACTTGATTAGGTTATTTTAATGGTGTTTTCACTTTTCGAGCATGATCTGTTTTAACATAATGGGATTTGGAATCTATCAATTAAAATATCACTGTGAATACCCCTGGAGTGATAAACAGGGGGCGCCCATGAGTGCTAAAAGCATTCGAAAGAAGGCCACGAGCCCTAAAAGGTGGGAAACCTGATAAAAAGTCATACTACTTGCTGCCTTCTAATTTTAAAATTGTGAAGTTAAAGTCGACCCAGATAAAATTTCTTGTATAGCCCACCATTGCAAATTCTAGTTAATGCAAATTCTAATTAGCTGGTCCACATTTTCTAAATTACCATTTTGTCATGAAATGTCCAAGCATATGGTATTTTAAAAGTACTGACAGCTAATTTTACAAGCTAAGGCTAAGATAGGCTATACCTGCTTGGATAGTAATCACAAATAGTGATTAGCATGTTTAATATAGTTATAGCAAGATCTGTTTCATTCATAACTGCTTGACCAGTGGCCATCAAGCACCATTTCAGTTGTCGGATTGCATGTAATGGTCTCCATCCATCCATTCCTTGTGCCCAGCATCGGCTTTTAGGTGTCAGTGTGCCATCTTTCCAGAAATCTTTCATCTAAAAAAGAAGAATTTGTTACCGAAATCAAACTGAAAGCAGGCGTATTTAAAATAAAGCAATACTAGTTATATGCAACATAGTAAATCTCCACTATCAGATTAAACTATAACATTTCTCTTTGAAATCATTCAAATTTCAACAAAAAAGTAAAAAAACGATAAAGTCAAACTTTTTTCAATACAACAAGTAGCCAATCCTAAGAGTAGAGTACATAATTTTCCAAAATTGGCCAATTTGAAAATTTTATCACAAATCAAACAATATTTAAATAAATATAAATATATTGTCCCTGTGAATAGGCAAATATTCCAGAATAGTTATCATAGGAATTCAAGAAAGAAGCAAACACTATATTAGGTGGTCATTAGCATCAGGTAGTGTTGCAAATGATTATTAAGTTAACAGCTGATGTAACTTGGCGATATACATAAAAAGTTAATATTTCCTAAATTTCTAACAAAACGCTCTATAATAATATTGGTAAGTGTAGCCAGCATTTAAAAACCATTTTTAGTCAAAAAATATTCAATATTAAAAGCTGATAGAGTGTCATTAGTAAAATAATCGGACCTCCTGAAGTATGCGCACCAAGATGGCGCACAACCTGAACTCAGGTAGTGTACCAGGTTAGGGTTCAGGTTATGCGACATCTTGGTGCGCATACTCCAGGAGTACCAAATAATCATTCAAACAGTCAAAGAGGTCCCGCCCACCCCTTTGGGATTATATTTTATGATTATTGTTTGTTCGTTTATTTTTACTGCAACTCTGGTGAAATATTAAGCAATAAACCATTATTTATTTATCACTACCACTATACCTCATTGAAACTGTAAGGTCCAAGTCTCTCTTTTTCCTTATTTCCAAAATACCATTCTTTCTCTGCAGCTCCCGCTACCATTTCATCTGTTCCTTCAATGACGTTGGTTTGAGTCGGAACATAAGCTCGTGTTGTATGAAGATGAGCTAGACTCAGTAAGTCAACAAGAATTCGGATTGCATTTGCATCGAGTGCTTCTTTAACGTTTTTCTAAAAAAGATTTTTAGTTTGGGTTTGCAGTTGAAGGGACGGGGTATATATATCGTTTTTCTAAAATCAAGAAAAAAATTTTGAAAAAAATTTTCTTTTTTTCATAAGTAGCCATATATAAATTATCTATTATTGCATTAGAGACATGGGTAACAGACATGGGTATATTGGCTTTTTCTCTTCACTTACATGAATATAAAAGTCTTTTTTTTTTCAATACATTTTACTAATCGTATCGAATTCTCATTAAAACTTTGTTCACTTTCATACGATTTTGTTAGAATTAAATGGCGCTAGCATACCATCATAATACCAACGAAATTTGTCACATACCTTATGTTTTATTAACTTCTGGATGAACAAAATCAACCTGTCACGTTCAAGTCGATCTGAGCACTGAAAAAGAAAAGACATTTCAACAACAATCTATCATTTTCCATGGAAATTCCAATATACAATAAATTGATAGAGCAGTATGGTTTTGATGTTAAATACATTTAGCATTCCCATTATAGGCCATACAAGAATCGGAAATGGCCAAAACCAAGTAGTCTACTTCTATGAAATATTCTATGTAATATTCTATATATATATATATATGTATATTCTAAATATTATGTAATATTTTCTGAATAAATCTTCCACAAAGAAATTGGCAGAAATAGTAATCTGATAGTAAATGAATTTGGTAATGCATAATAGCTAAAATTATATTGTTTATACAACTTTTATCAGCATCAGTTTAATGCAGTCATTTCACATGTGACAATCAGATGTCAATGCACGTAATCAGGGGCGTGGCCAACAATTTTCAAAGGGGGGAAGGGGGGGTTCAAATTTCTTAATGCCAAGTTAGGACCAAACTGGTAGCGGGTCTGGCCGGATCAAGATTCTTGATGAGTCTGAAAAGCGTTTCACGCTATGAAAAATTGCTATAGATTATACAGCAAAATGCTTTTTTTACATTTCAAAAGAAGGCTTCCAACCCCCAACCCTACCCCCCTGGCTACGCCACTTCTTATAATTGTGATTTTTTTTTAAATCCCCTATCCTAAAATCTCATATGTCCTGAATATCATTTTTTTCAGACATTCCTGACTACCCGACTATAACATAACAAAAAAACCAACCCTTTCCAGCATCCCAACAAGGTATCTAGTATCATTGAAAGGTCCGATCTCTTCCCAACATCTCCCATATACAATGCTCATTGCTTGCAAACACATGCACTTCATGGCTGTCTTCGGTGTCAGTAAGAAACGATGGTAAAGATCATTGAAAAATTCATATCTGTAATAGAGCATAGAATTTTAAGAAAAACTTTGGCCATCGGACAGCAACATTTGGTGCTGTAGTTAAATACAGGAACAATTTACGTCGATATCTGTTATAACCAAATACAAAGCAACTCACGATCTCTTGATGGCGCCATTCTCTTCATTTTCATCTTCCTCAAGAAGAAGTCTCAAATAATAATCTCCGATCTTGATTTCTTCGGCTAGACATTCATATTGAACCTAAAAGTAACAAAACATCATCTTTAATATTTAGCAAGTATTTAAAACATTCCACTATGTTCATGAATTCAGTGTTACTCCTAACAAAGCTCGAAACAAACAGTCTTTTTGTGAAGGCTTAAGATGGAGACTACAATTTTTTTTACATTCTGAGTCAGGTGACAACTTCTTATATTTCTACAGACAGATTTAAGCCTGCAAACTGGGTCTATTAAAACAGAGAAAACCAAAACATCCAGAATCTGTGTTTTGGCATCCATGCTGCTATGAACAGTCCAACTAAATCACGACTAACCTCAAACTCTTGATGATTCCAGGATATTTCAATACTTTGACCAAGTTCTTTGTCAACATTAAAAGCTCTCATTTCGTTTTCAAGAGCGTCCCGCAGTTCTTCTCGTGTCTGTATGGAAAAGAAAATAGTTCAGTAATTTTTACTATATCTTATCTCCTATACTTGAATTTATTTTCAAATTGCTTCCAGCTTCTTTTCTTAGGCTTATTGGAAAATTATTTTATATAATTCAATTACCCCAAATTATCAAATAGGATGGACAATGACAAAACCAGTAAAATTCCAACTGTTTTAAAAATACCAGATTCATACCTATCGTTGGATATTACTGGGCCTTGTTCAAAATGAAAGGCTTGCATGAATAAAAGTCGAAGTCAACAGTCTATGCGTCTCAAACTTGAACTGGTTAACTATTCCTATATCTGACACGGTCATGTAACTGGACAAGAAATCGTGGCTTGCTAAGTGATAAGGTCATCTTACATGCTGTCCCCCATGGGTAAACATAAAACCCCTATTATATCTTAAAATATCTTAAAATCTCCAGAGATTACTATTTCCCAAGTCATTGGTTACTAGGTGGATTAGAACCAGAAAAAATGAAGAGAAATTCATTAAAATTACCTTGTAGTTCCAAATCAAGTTCGGCAATGAATGATCCATGGTGAATCTATAATAAAGAAAATGAAATCAGAACAATTTTAAACTTTTAAATAAGGTTCTGTTATTGGTAAACAACCGACGTTTTTATAATACAATTCAAAAAAGTGAAATCCCAAACACAAATTACATGTTTCCAAAAAAAAACGAGAGCAATTATATATATATATGATATGTCCATCTAAAAAAATGCAAACTTTTGGGGAAAACAGTAAGCCTAAGCTGTATAGAAATTATGGAAAAATTACAGTCCTCTAGAAGATATGGACATTTCTAAGAATTGAACATTTGAAAAGGGTCATTAGGTTAAGAGAAAAACAATTTTGACGCAGACAACAACACGAATACCCTAACAACAACAACAAAATTTCAACACAGCAATCCATAAACCTACTTCAGGTACAGCAATCCTGTCGAAAATCGAAGAACATAACTTACTGGTAATAGAACAACGGCCAATTTGCCTCAGATTTGATTCTTTGTCTTCGTTTTCTTAACACTATGGGCTTCTGCTGAGGCTGCTCCTTTCTTGCTATTCCCATCTGATCTCTCCAATGAGTTAGAAGAATGTTCGCTTTCTTTGAGACAACTCTTTCAATCTGTGAAAAAGGAGTTAAACTTTGTAGATCGGTCGTAAAAAGGGTAAACTGAGATTTTTCAGGAAATTTGCGAAACTGACTTTTGGCCACAGAGTGAAGCGCATATATACCAGAGATCTGAACAATTGCACAGAAATATCTAAAAACAGTTTCATCATTTATCAAGATTAAATCATCAAGTTTGTACTGTTGGCATATGTGTACTATTATGGGTACTCCTGTGCCAGGTTAGGGCACATTTTTATTCCAATTTTTCTTATTTTAGTTCATTTACGAGTTTGGGGACTGTCTGTGTTATCCAAGTGAATATACCCCCTGCTCAGTCCCTTCACACAACTTGACATAAAATAGGCGAACAAAATTAGTTACCTCATATTGGTACACACACTTCTGGAGTGCCCTATTATGTACTATACTATAGGCGCATGCTGCATTAACATGTGCCCTGCCAACCAGCACTATATTATGAATATGATTTATCGAGTTCATCAAGCGCAAAAACTTGCACAAAACAAGTGAACTTACAAAAAAGACTGAATAATATAATTATTTGGATAAATCATCAATTTATGAATAACGCTCATAATAAAATACCTGTTTTAAATTCTTGTCTAGTTGTTTCCATTGAGACTGCTTTCCTTTAGTTTGATCCTGCAATTAAATTCAGATTTGAGTGAGGCTAACATGTTTCGCAGACTCTTTAAGCCTTGCCCCCTTTTTAGAATAATTTTTACCAAGTCACCCCCCCCCCCCCTACCTTGAAAATAACTAGCTAACAATAAGTTACAAATAAAGGATAGTAAGGCAAAAAAAACGCTAGGCCATACATCCCAATACTTGATTCCTTCTAAAAAAAAATTAAATAAACACTCACGATAGCATGTTTCAAGTTGTCTCTTATATTGATCAGATCCTGCTCATTCTCAGGAACACTGTCTTCTGAATCCAAGTAGGCAAGAAGGCCTGCAGGCTGGAAAAAAGTCAAAGATTATTTTTGAATTGATAATTAATTTTGCTTGTTATTGACTTACAGTTTCATTTGAATTTGATTAGTAAAAAATCTGGATCCCGGTTTGAGCCCAGGTCTATTCGTTTGTTCGGACAACACACATAGGTCTCACCACAAGCACTAAGACATCAAACTCACTTACAACTACTACCATGCAGCACAATTTACCTTGGATTAGTAGAATATTTTGCAGCTATTCTGACAGTTGGTATGGATGATGGATTGAAGGGCTACTGGCCTTCTTACTAATGCATCTATAGTTGGAATTATTATACCTAATCTGGACTGGTTCGATAGGGGATTGGTTCTTTATATGACTGAATGTTCAGTCTTTCTATTACACGATAAATATGAAAATCCTATCTTAGCATATGTTTCGATGGTTGCCGATGAATTTATTCCAATATGGGACTCCTTCACTTCTACATTAGAGGAAATGACAGTATTTTAACAATTTCTCTCTATAAAATGTTCGGTTCTAGTGGTTTTTATGCTAATACACATACATACCAGTATTCTTCTCAGAAGTCCCATAGCAATAGGGTGACCAGTTACCCACAATCCAACAAGATGGCGGCTCAGTTGGCGATTGGTCAACATCCTCATGTCTGTTGATACAGTAAACATGGAAGTGTGCAGATGACGAGGCAGAGCTCCCTAAAACGAAAAGTTTACCATTGAGGGAAAAGGAATAAGAAGCTGGATTTCCAACTAAGTTTGCAAAACAGCAGAAGATTTAATGCAGCGACAAGAAATTTGAAATATGTATTTTTACTCATGTGATCGCCTTCGAAAAAATACACTATCGGATTAAGATTTTATGCTAGTTGGGGAAATTTCGAATGTTGACAAGAGCCAATGTCTTGGTGGGCCGGATTATGGCCCGTGGGTCACCTGTTGCACATCCCTGCTTCGAAACCAGTGTCCTTAGACTTTATCCAATTGCAGTTTTATTCTTGGCAAAGTATTTATATTTTTGACGATCCGAATTAATTTTTTACTCACCTCAGCAAGGGCCAAGTCTTGCATATGTGCTGCGGTCTCAGAGTCTCCTTCTTCTATAATTGCTTTCATGACCATCCCTGCTCCTTTCACTATTGCCATGGAAGGATGCTGGAAAAAGAGATGAAATCTGTTAGAGTTAAAATAAATATCATGCAACAATTTCCGAGGACAAGTCTACATATGAAAGCGCATATCAAGCTTAGACACAAAGTGCCAGTATGCTCTGTCAACCCTCCATATTCCTTATTGATCCTACAACAGAGTGACCAACAAAAATAGAACCCAGCTCATTTAGAACATATTCTTGAGAGAGCATTACTTTTGTGCAAAGCGTTGGGGATTACTGAAACGTTATGGTACAATCAAACTCAAAAACAAATTCAAGTTTTGATTAAATTTTTAAAAGACGCAGTTCAGAAACTCATAAGTTTTGTTTTTTAAGGTCACCCTGTATATCAGTGTATATGATTGATAGCCGAATAAAGTTGATTTAACCGAATTAAACATAAAGCAGCATCTCCAGGGGTGGAGAAAGTTTTTTTGCAAGAGCTGCTTTACAAAAATCTTTTTTAGGCCCCAAAGTGACATCACAGTTACTCTTCCCAATTCTCTAGGATAGTGTTAAATTTAATGGTGGCTGACATTGTTGAACCAAAGATAAAAATAACATTAATATTAATTTAACAATTTATAGTTATTTTCAAATTAAATTTTAAAATTAATTAGTTAGTTATTTTCAAATTAAATTTTAAAATTAATTTGGATTTTGTAACAAATTTGTGAAAAATATTCACAGCTCTCTCCAAGAGCAGGAGGTTCGTATGAAATGCTTCAGCGGGTCGCATCAAGGCACAAGGATGTAGTTGTATACAATACCTGAAATAACTTGAATATGCTTCTACCCATATCTGCAACCATTTGTAAAAGTTGTTCAAAACATTTCCCGTCTGTTGTCTCACTGTGTGGAGCGCACAATGAAAATGTGAGGAAATCCAGCATTGCACTGATTACTAAAGCTCCTCTGCCTTTATTCTGGAAATGAAAAATTTAAAAATATTTTGAAATAGTTAATAGTCGAAGATTGAACACACTGCATGTAGTTCATTATTCTATGTTTAATTAAGTTTTATTAGTTATTTCTGTGTATAGTGGATTTTAGCAGTAAAACCCTCTCTATTTTGCGTGCAAATATTGTGTGTTGCTTTGGGGAAAGCTTAGCATGCTAAGCAAGTCAACTCAGTGCATCTATCAATGACAGTGATAATTAAAATGATAAATAAACAACTAGTTACAAAAAATCTGACTCACTTTTATATATTTTTGAGTTTATATTACCTAAACTATAAACAACTTTTTGAATATCTTGGGTCTAAAACCATGCACCCACGACTTCAAACTCAGTGTGTAATAAATTAGGTGGGTGCCAAACTGGGAAGTAAACAAAGTCAAGGTTAAGTGTGAGGCTTTGTCTAACTAAACAATAACAAATGTTCCAGGTATAGGCTCCATTGCAATGGTTCTCAAACTTTTTAAGATGCGTCCCCTTTTTAGGATTTGTCACAACTCACACCCAACCTCAAAAAAACTAGCTAACAATTAGCATGTTGACATTGTACAGAGGGTTTTAGAATCTATGAACTAACAGCACAAAGTTGAACTTTCAAACATGCTCCACGATAAAGATAATAAAGATACAAGAACAACAGCTCTAGGCAATCTCTAAACAATAGAGAAATGTAGTCAGGGAGATATTGGTAGGGTTAGTGTCTCACTGACAAAAATACACTATCCAGTTATAAGCTCCATAGCATTATTACTTATCGATCTTAAGTTCGGTGAGTATGTTGATAGGTATTTGTCTGTTTGTTTGTTTGTCTGTTAGATACACGCAATATCTCACGAAAGCGAGGTTAAATCTGCTCCAAATTTTGCATGTGCATTCATCATAGTTCGGAACAGAAGCCTATCGATTTTCGATGAATCATGTCGTATAATTAGCGAGTTATTAATCAATCAGTGATGGGACACACGGTGTCACTATGGAGTAAGAGCACTGTTTTGGGGGATTCCCTAACCTCCGATCGATAAGTCTTCGGTCTCCGACCGATATTCTCGTTATAATATCATTAATACCTAGGCTTGATGGATATATTACAGTTATATTGTGAACTCACCACTCTTATTGCAAACTGGTCCAATAGACTTTGCAGAAATTGCTTCGATGACAAAAGAGATGATTTGTTCAATTGTTCTTGACGTAGGTCATAATCATCATGCATAGGCTGAAATAAAACAAAATTATGAGATAATAATACTTAAAGCTTTTGATCTATTGGACAAATTGGACGTATAGACGGGGTGTCCATAAAGTTCCTTTACAATTTCAATTTTGTTATAAAGTCAGTTCTCAATATATCTTAACCAGGTTTGTTGTTTTTAATCAGTAATTGTTTAGGTATTTTTACTTCATATAAAACATCTGTGAGGGCCAAAACAATATACGGTATCAATAAATTCCCTTTGCAATTGTAAAAAACTTTGAGACTTTATGGACACCACATATATCTGGTTTGATCTTGTGTATTCAAGTACATCCTGGTTATAGTTTTATATAAAAGACTTACACATAGTAAGGTAGCGAGCATATCGCAAGCCGCATGCATTACTCCATCATTTTCACGCTTCAAGGCTTTCACAACCTTCAGACCAAGCTTTTCTCGAAACCTAGGAAAAGGAAAAAAATAAAATTAAATTTTGGGAAGGATGGCTTATTGCTTGTGTGAAAAGAAACACCAGTACATGAAAGGGCTATACGACTGGATATGTGACTCATATTCAAAACATGCACTTCATGCAAACAAAATGTGAAAGTACAGCTCAAGGCGCTCCAGAAGAGCCAATATGGAGGTAACTCATCATTGGCCCGGCCACGCCAAGACCACAATACGTAATTTCCTTACTTGGGTAATTGAGTGAAAGCCATAAAACCAGCCTTTGATGCAACGAGACGTCTGACTGCATGAAACTGAGATTCCATTTCCATGTCTGATATGCTGTTTTGATCACCTGAAGGATTAAGGCAAACATAGAAATCAATACAGAATAGTATAGGGTGTCCACAAAGGTTAAACTTATGTAAAATTCCAAAGGAAATTCATGGATACCATACATTGTTTTGACCCTCACAGATATATTGAATAAAGTAAAAATACTTAAAATTACTGATTAAAAACAACAAACCTAGTTAAGATATATTGAGAACTGACTTCATAACAAAAATGGGGGCTCCCGAAGTATGCGAACCAAGATGGCGGACATCGGAATGTAATATGTGTACTAGGTTAGGGTTAGGCCATAATTTTAGGTATAAATACTACGGGAGGCTCTTGGCTAGTCTTCGAACTGATAATAGGACTAAAATTTGGAAAATTGGAAAAAAATTATCGCCTAACCCTAACCTGTTACCCATGTTACGTTCCGAGGTCCGCCATCTTGGTGCGCATATTTCGGGAGCACTCAAAAATGAAATTGTAATTGGGACTTTATGGACCCCCGTGTATACGTCAGATTTGAAACTTGAGAGAAAACCATTGTAACTTTGAAGCAATTGCAAATAATATTTAAATTTACGTTGATAACATAATTTGGCACAATAGTTAGGAATAAGGCTGCTGATACGGTCTCAATCAGCCATTGACTGGCTGGGTCCTGATATTTCAAATTGCCAAATTAGATCGTAACAGCTAGCAGGTTCGACCGGAAAAGGTGAGTCTTCAAGAATCTTATTAAGAGTCTAAAAAGTGTTTCAAGCTCGAAAAAATTGCTATGTATGTACAGGAAAAGGCTTTTTTGTTACATTTCAAAAGGGGATGTTACATTTCAAAAGGGGGGGGGGGGGGTGTTCCCAAACCGCAACCAATGCCAATATGAGACGTAATTGTACATTGCAATTTCAGGGTTATGGGGAAGTTAAAAAACATAGAAAATTCCAAAATAATCAAAAAAGTCTAACCTTCTTTCTCGAGCAAAGCATTTATTGCACCATTGATGAGTTTCTCTTTATTTTCTGAGAAGAATCCATCTTGTTTTACAGCCCAGAGCAACCCACTGAAAAATTATTTTATGATTTTATTTAAAAGATGTTACATTCAAAAGGTTGTGAATCATCGATATTGAAATTTTCAAGAAAAGTACTAGTTCATTCAGAGATCCCGTAGTATTCCTACCAAGATGGCGCACAATCTGCTAACTCTAACCTGGTACACATACTATGTTCAGGTTGTGCACCATCTTGGTACGAATACTACGGGAGCACCGTCCATTTTATATAACTAGTACACATAATTATCAGTCTGAGGAAAGATTTTACGAAAGGTTACAGTTGTCACCATCTCCAAAATACCGAATACTGCAGAAAAATGAGATAATATCTTCTAAAATGGGTCAAAACTCTCTACTTTAAATAAATTTCTTCCCCGAATGTTCACATATCTGACGACTATAATCCATCACTCACCTATATTGGATACAATTATTGAACCTAGACACTGCATCAGCAAAGTTTCCGGTTGGAGGTTGAGCTAGGAATCTTAGATGTAATGATTCAACGTCTTCTTCTACTGGGACGTACATTGGTCCCATCCTCTGCCCAAGGTTCGTTTCTATCATCTGAATGATAAAAATAATAAGACTGGATACTTGATAGTTTGACACATCATGCTAAACATTGGAACTATATTCATGTGTGGGTTCACAGGCTTGAATCATTTGAGTAGACATATCACCCCTCTAATGGAGTGTTTCTATGAGAGTTCTGCGCACAATAGAAAACAAGACTTATCTTTGAGAAAAGCAACTGGCACCCACTTACAAATTATATGGATGTATACAATAGCCCAGATAGGGGCAGTGCCCAAACAATATTAATAACACACAGGATAAAAATCTTATATTTAATCCTCACGCCAAGTAGAGCACTAGGCCTAAATAATCAGAATTGTGGCAACAGTGGCCTAGTGGCTAAAACAAAGTAAATTGGCAAAACAAAATATAAAACTCACACATTTTTTTAACCCCGTGCCCAACTTATAACAAACTCATAAAATATCTCACCTTCACACAAACATCCCTGTTGCCAGATGCTCTGACTCCGTCTAATAGAGTAGCAAGCAATGAATCTCTGTCTGTTGATAAATAATACCTTCTTTGTCCTTTGCAATATTCTATTGTAAACTTCTGAGGGTTTACAACGTCCCGCACAAGTGAAAATACCTGGAATTGGATAAATATTAATGAGAATATTAATTAACTAGAATGAAAACTTGACGATAGAGAAATAGAATAGATAAAATACTACAACAAAATTATACCAGAGTTTCTTGAACAGAAGTCAGGCGGATAGATGAGATGCATTGCGCCACAACAATTGAGAGTTGTCGCGCTACTCATTATTTGAGTAATCACATTGCATCACAGTTAGGGTATTGAGCCTAACAACGTTGACATAACATTATAAAAATCTATAATTAAAAAGATTCCTACCAATTAAATAGAAGCACCTTACTATACAGACTAAAAGCTGCAATGATTTTCCAAATAAATGATTTGTCCTAGTCACTCACCTCAGATAAAGGTCTCAATGTCACGATATTATATGTTGCTGGGTCTCTTTCAATAATACAGGATTCACTCAGGCATAACGTCCTTCTTACAGGCTCCTGATAAATAATGAGCAAAAGATTACAAATATTGAAAAATATGTGATGCCGAAAATAGAACTGTACCAGACACTTTTAGTTTCCCTTTTTTAAATTTGTTTTCAATCAACACATTTCGATACGAAAAAGAGAGAGATTATGTTTGACCTTGGATTAAAAGTTTAAGAATAGCCATGTTAAAATGGATTTTCACTTTTTCAATAGATTTTTCAAATGAGTTGTTTTTTCAAACAAGCCTCCTTCAGCTAAAAGCAATCCAACCACTCGTGTACAAAGAGTGAACTATAGCTATTGTTATTCGAGATGATATAACAGTAGATAGCAGTTAATGCTAGAATTTAAATGATTCAAGTCAAAACTGCCATTTAAAGCTTAGTGAAATTATTTTTAGCATAGGGATTCTTCATAGGGATTCTGTTGCTATAAATTATATTTCAATTGAGTTTTTTCCATACAAGAGCGTCCTGAACTAAAATTGGTAAAAGTAAGAGTATTAACATAACAGTTGCATGCCAAACACTGGTGCACTAACATTGAACAAGACTAGGTTTATCCAGGTTACATGAATGTCAGTTAATAGTGCTTGACATAAGAAAAACAGCAGCATAAACTTTGGGCATAGAAATATTATTGCCAAGCTTCAACAATATGAAAGCCAAATGATGTAGGAAGGAAAGTATAGAAAGACTTCACAAGACACCTACTTCACACATATAACAAATATATTTTATAAATTCCCTCTGAAGCGTCATCGTTTAGAAAAACCAAATCTGATCGTCATTTGAGCACCACTTATCGCCAGACAAGCATCACTTATAGTAACAGTAATAATTTCAGTAGTGTACAACTTAGATAGGAAACTTCACTATTTGATAAAAGTTGAGACTATTAAATTAAAGATTTAACTATAAACCTACGACATGGGTGAGCAAATTACGCAGTGTTTTATCCAGCCCACGATCAGTTGAAAATATCAATGAAAATAACGTCATAATAACCCCGATTGTTATATTCTTCTTCTTACTATTATATTAACATTAGTCTAGCTGTTGTAAATAAACTTTTTATTCATCCTCCGGCCCAGTAACCAGGTCTATTATGTGTAACTGGCCCACTTGGAAATGGAGTTGCCGACTTCTGGGTTTGCCATTCATATGTCATGAAATTGATGCTTATTATTTGATCTAGTTTCACCCAATAGTGTGAAATATGTAAAAGGTAATTCGAGAGAATGAAGACAATTATATTTTTTTGATTGAAATAACTTTTACTTCATTTGGTTTGGCTTACATATTTGGTTTCAAACTGTAATTAAAAACAAACTAAAATAGTCAAGCAAGCTAAAAAATTTTGTATTATGACATAATACAAAGCTTAATGATTCAAACAAGGCTAAATAAAAGCATCTAACAATATCTCATCTACTTTTTTTTTCTGCGGGCATGGTGGCTCAGGCTCCTTTGGCTGCGCTCTTGAAAAAAGCCTCTAATCCTTTGAAACATTTTTGAATACAATGAATAAACCGCGGATAAAACAACCTATTTTTTGTGATATTTTGAATAAAATAAAAAATAATTTTTCAAAACATTCACCATTTCGACAAAGTCTACTCACATTAACTCTATGCGTTATTTTCTGCACCGAGAATTCCGCAACACTTGTTACTTGTTCATCATCGCTAAATTTTCCAAATCGATAATTCACGAATTGATCGAATGAGATCGGATCTTTTCGTTTCTTAAGTTGAATTCCAACGTTCCTTGATGCAGCATCTACACATGCTTTAATTAGTTCATCAGGGTTTGTACAACTGAATAAATGCTGTGAAATGAGAGAAAAGAGTTAAAAATTAAATGGCTGTAAGTAGTAGCAGTGGATAGCAAGGTAAGTACAAATATTTGGATAGTTTTTTTTTTTTTATGGCGCTCAATAACGCAAATGGCCCTGAATAAGCATATCTAATGATATGTAGGCATATAAGCAGAGTTTAAAACTCAAAAAAAGTTGCCAAACTAAGGGGTTGGCTTGTACGCGCATAACCCTGATCGCACTCAAAATTTGAAACATACCTCTGATCGAATGACAATATGCTAATTTAAACTTAACAGCTACAACTCGTACGACATGTTACGAATCATAGGGTCGGCTTATATGTGAGATATGCTGATATGGGAGGTACATCCTGTGTGAGGTGGTGGTTGGCATGGAATTAAATCTGCCATTGGTTATCACTGGTATGTAATCCACCACCATAATTCCATATAATTTTAAGGGCTCCTCGCATTTCAATACCGATGTCTTTTTACTCACAGATTTGGGATAATAAAGAGTTTTGCCTTGGTTCGGAATTATGGTAGCTTTGTGCGAAGCAATGGCTGCTTCTACAAAACCTTGTTTAGAGTAGTAAATAATACCAAATTTTTAAAAAATTTTCTAGTTGAAAAATAAAATATATGTTATGACTCACCAATCTACTGAAACTGTAAATAACAGCAAATCCACCAGGATATCCTGAAACCTGGAAAAAGAAAACATGTGAATCATACATCATTTTTGCACTGAATTTGAATGTCTGAAACCCAGAAATTTTTAAACAATCCTACCATGTGCACTATATAAAGCAGGATTTTGCAACCTTTTTTGCATTGTGGACGGACCAAATTCAAAAAACATACATGGCTGAAAACTTATTAAAACTCGTACTTATTCCGCAAAAACAACCCTACTGCAACCAGTTACCAGACACTCCCGCTCAGTGTTATTTTGTATCAAGTAAAAAAACAAGCAATCAAGCCTACTTTTCATATAAAAGTATGTGGCCATAGAAATCAGTGGCCAGCCAGACAACCTGATCATACTAAAGGCCACATCATAATACAAATAGTTTCATCGACTATTTGTACTTCAATATTCGTTTGTAACATTGCTCAGAGATTATTATTATTTAATGGTGCTCGTAGTTTTGTGAGCCAGGACTATCATATTACGCGCGTTGGGTGCTCAAATGATTCTACCTGTCATGGGGACGTATTCTATAACAAAATACATAATTCTGGGATTTGTTAGCTATTTGATAATATCTATATTCTTGCATAAAACTTTGTTCAGGGGTGAGTCTTCTTTGCTTCTGTGTTAGTGGATGTAGCTTTTGCTATTTTAGTGGTTGCCCATAAGTTTGCTCAGAAATGAGAAACCATTTGGACATGCACATGATTTTACTTTGAGCAAACACTCTAAAAAAAATTTACCTCTGTGAACCCTTCAATGTCTTTGTAGTCATAAGAAGCCAGAACTCTGCTTGAAGTTGGGTCGAGTTGATGAAGAGATCCTGCTCCAACCTGAGAAAGGGGAACATAAGGTGAATTGATTGTGAAGAATGAAATTCTGTCATATTATTGTTAAAAACTTTTTCCTATTCAAGTATCTTTTTAGCACAGGTCACATATGGACCAAGCAGCACAAGAAATATAAGACAAAGGATAGGTCACACAACCTCACAATTATAAACATTTGATTTGATCTTATTCAAGCATCGTTGTTACAAAGGTCACTAGTACAGATTCAAAAGTACAAAAAACAAATAAAGAATAGGCAGTTTGTCAGATGATACAAAAAAATGCATCAAAAATATAAGTTGTAAATGAAAACGTAGTTAGAGAGGAGTCAGATTTTGAATGGGACATAAGTCTTGAATAAGCGTGTCTGTTTAGTCCAACTCCCTTTTCTAATGACTCAACATGTTTAGCCGAAAAAGAATTAAAAAACTAGGTCAACCCAAAGTCTCTCAAACTGGACCCTCAAAATCGTTAACAAAAAGGGTGTCTAGGGGCCATTTAAAATAAATTGAATGTGATTTGCTTAATTCTTTGAGTGTAAGTAAGACTAAGACCTTTATTCTTTTACTTTCATTATTGGATTTCCTATTATCAATTGTGGCGCATACAAAAACTGGTGAAAACACATTAATAAAGCAAAACTAAGTTTTTTAATAGTAAAGCAGGGGGCACAAGTGTTGAAGTCTTTGATAAGGGACTTATCAACCACTGCCATAAGTCGGAGTTATTTTATTTGTTACTCTAGAATAATACGGAAATAACAGGAATTGTGAAAAGTGGATTGCTCCGTCTTCAGGTCTACAACTAGGGTTGCCACTTCTGGATACATTTATTTTCAAATCGTATTTTTTTTATTGCATGCGTATGTTTTCCCAAAGTCCCGAAAAAGCTCAATTCTAGAAGACTTGTACTGCTATGTCATAAACACTGTAACAGCACTGCTTTCCCACACCAGTATATGTGACTGTGGTATTTCACTTTTCGTTATATTGAATTAGGGCCAGCCTTATTACCGATTTTTTATATTCAAAATATTAGTACAATTTTATTACATAATTTGTAGGAGAGCTTCACTAACACAGTATTTTGGCATCTCTGTTCTTTATAGGTTCATTATCGTGATAGAGCATGCTAAACAGAGATATACTTGGCAAATATTTATGCTAGCAGCATAGGGTAATACGACAAAAAACATTCTAATTGCATCTGAATTACTATAATGGAAAATGCTTGCAAGAATATACTTGAAGACAATGAAATTAACCACGAATAAACTAAATTAATTTCGAGAAAAAAAATCGTTTAACCGACTACGACTGCGAAAAAAAGTTCCCATAAATATTGGAGACACGAATATTTTGTGGCTAACAATGTTATTGGCAAACTCGGGCACTATTATTATCGTGGACTATGTTTATTTTCGTAATTCAGAAAGTCCAAATGTGCATCATTGACGTGGCGCTGACAAGCGATAATTTGTCGACGCTGTATCTCGATTCAATGCCGCCAAAAACAACGATTAACAAACGTCCAATATTTTTTCTTTTTTTCTATAAATCGCTCTCTTTTTCCGAATCGCGTAAATCTGATTCGAATCGATTCGGGAAAGATGCGATTCGAATCAATCCGATTCGTAAATCTGAAAGTAACATCCCTATCTACAACACCCTTATAACCGTTATTGAACGTACATGATCCTAAATATGTAAAATATGTGATCCCAAATATAAGTGAAATAAAACTGGGAGGTCATTCATACAAAATACATGACAGAATTTAATAGTCAATACCTCCAATAAAACTGGAAGTCTTGTATCACTCCAATGATGTTTCCTTGCATTGAATCTTTGAACCTTGTGATATGCTTCAGAAAAATGCTTGCAGTATCTCTGAAATAAATAAATAAATGGTATAAGGATTTGTTACACAGTTATGAATGTCATAAATTTGTAGACAACATTAGAGTTTATAATTTTCTATTATAATATAAATAAATGATTGGATCGTTACAAAATAATGAAACCAGGTTTGTCACACTGGCATAGATAGACCGGCGTTATCAAACCAACAAAGATTATTACCACATTATATAAAAAAAAAAATTCAAAAAGGGTTAGGATTTGTCAGACAGTTACAGACAGTTATAAATTTGTAGAGAACATTAGAGTTTATGATTTCAATTTTATTAGAAATTACGAGATGGTTACAAAGTTTTAAAACAGGTTAAATCTGCCACACTGGCATAGATAAACAGGCAATATCAAACAAATCAATAAAAAGATAAATGACACAAACTGATCATTCAACACAGACAAATACAGCTTTACCCTGGTTAATGATCAATCACTTTGCCTATATTGCAGTGTGTTGAGCACAGCCTATTACAAAATATGGGCAAACAAAATATGAATTCAAACACAAATGCGACAGATTCAATAAAGTAATGTTCTCATAAGATTTACAATTTATTTTTTATGGATTGGACCCAATCAGAGATATAGTTTTTCGAGCATACTGTTTCAAAAACTCAGATAATAAAAATATTGTCAAAATACTATTTTCATATAAAATATGAATGGCATATACTATTAGTAGGCAGGTAAAATTGGGAACACCGCAATTTTTTTGTAAAAATAGCTTATTTCAGAATACTCAAAAAAGTTACTCAAAGAGTAGGCCTATTAAACCATTAGGACATAAAAATCTCATCACAAGACAGACAAATTCGACACAAATTTTGAATTTATTAATAAGACTGTGAACTGACATGTCAATTAGAATATTAGGAACCACAGGATGAATTTTACTTTGGCTTTTATTTGGTTTAGTCTGACTAAAGTTCTTTATTATTACCATAATATTTATTTATGCACAAATTATAAACTACTTGAACTGTACAAAATCAACTTGCGCATAACATTAGTTGAGTTTCCATTAAAGATTAAACGAGAAAATCGGTTGGAAACCGAAGACTTATCGATATAGAGTTAGGGGATCCCACAAAACAGAAACTGCGGTTTTGATTCATCCGCTCTTGTAACTTGCGCACTGCGCATCGCACACACACACTCGGCTGATCTCAAAATTCTATCGCTTGATCACTTGATCACTAATTAATTAATAACTCGCTAATTATACGACATAATTCATCCAAAATCAATAGGCTTTTGGTCCGACATATGATGAATGCACATGCAAAATCTGGAGCAGATTCAATCTCGCTTTCGTGAGATATCGCGTGCATCTAAAAGACAGACAGACAGACATACAGACAAATACCTATCAACATACTTACCGATTAAAATCGATAAGTAACAAATAAAATATTTTCCATGCATGGTGAGGGGGGGAATAATAAGTCCAATAATAGCCGAAAGGAGGATTTTAATGACAAAGGTTGGGAACTCAAAACCAATTTTATAAAAAAGACACTAGATAGGCGAAGCAGACTCACCAATGCTTCAGTGATAACATCAGCCCTATGGTCGCAAGAGAATCTCATCGTATCATTCTTTTTTCCAGTTTTTCGCAATGAAATGATAAATTCATTTAAATTCTTTGATTTGCTTTCCGCAAGAATTCCAGCAAAGTCACTATACGGCCACTGAAAAATAACAAAAAAATTGAAAAATTACAAAATGGAGCAAAATTTTTTAGATAGAAGGCTGAATTCTAGTAGCTTATCGCTACTAGTTCAATAATACATAGTTCATTGACCCTTTATGTTAGAATCAATCATCTCATGTGCGAGCCAGTAAAAAGCTATGCCTAACTGTAACACTCCAACAAAAATATCAGCTTTTTAGCTAACATAACTAGTTCAGAACTCAAACACAGAACTTGATCATAACGGCATGGAACACAGACATCGTGAAGTGTAAGCCTAAAATGCTTATTACTACCGAGTCGAGTTTACAACTTATTAAAAACGAGACGGTCGAAGACCGAAGACTTATCGATCGAAACTGTGGTTTCCATTTATGACTCCATAGTGACACCGCATGTCCCATCACTAATTAATTAATAACTCGCTAATTATATGACATAATTCATCCGAAATAAATAGTCTTCTGGTCCGAGATATGATGAATGTACATGCAAAATTTGGAGCAGGTTCAACCTCGCCTTCGTTAGATATCGTGTTCATCTAACATCCACCAAGCAAACAGACAGACAAATACTTATCAATATACTTACAGATCTTAAAATCGATAAGTAATAAAGTTGCCAAACTAAGGGATTACACACATAACTCTGATCGCACTCAAATGAAATGACATTATGCTTACTTCAAATTCCATTAGCTACAACTCAAACCATGCTCTCACAAACAAAGCATGTGATTTGTAGGATTGACTTATATGCGAATTTTTATAAATTCACCAGTTTGGGGCCATTTTTAGGGGGTCGGCTTATATGCGAGGATATACGGTAAATATATTTAACTTACAGAAGTCCTAAATAAGCTAATTTTTAATAAAAATGGTCTATGAACCTAAAATGAATTTCTTACTTGATTTGTTACTTCTAATGTTGATGGATTATAAGTTGTGATTCCTTTCGTTCCAACAGAAAACACTCGCTTGTATCTGAAAATAGTAAAAGTTAGAAATGAAGCTGTTACTAGTTCATGAAAATGGGCCCTAATTCAATTGAATCCGATACATATTGGCAATTATACCAGAGACAGCTACCATGTTCATCCCTGTGCAGTGTAACATAATGGCTTAAGCAGTGCCACTGTTTATGCAGTGCCCTGTTTCCCGCGCCATAATATGCTCTCAAACCAGTATATTTATAAAGTGGTAATATCTTGGTATCTCAATTTGGGGATATATAGAAAAATAAATTTGATGAAATATAAACCAACATTAATTAACAGGGTACTTCGGTAGTGTGTGTACCAGACCCTTCTCAGACCCTCACACAACCCGATGTGAAGTAGGCCAACAAAATTAGTTATCTCCATATCGGTACACACACTCCTGGAGCACCATTAACAGAAAGTATATCAGTGCATTCTGATATTAGTGTTCTGAATTCTGATATCAATTGTTCAGCAACATAATTACCGGTATTCCGCAAAGTATCATATACAGGTCAGTGGGAAATACGATACTAACGACAAAACTCTGATTCAGAACTGAGTCATTCAAATTGATGCTTGTGTAAGCTTGTGTAGTCATATTCTTGCACAGAGAAAATATTTAAAAATCAAATTTAAAACTAAAAACAGGGGTTTATGGAGTGGTTCAAAAGTCTAACATCACACATTAAATAATCGTATTATTTGACATTTTGTCTGACCAAAAATCCTGCTTGAAAATTAAAACTGAAAACGTGGGTGGATTCATTCAGAAGTCTAACATTACGCTTCACAGTTCTTATTATGTAACATTTTGTCTGACAAAAATCAGACTTTGCCAACTAACAGCAAAGAGATGAAAAAAAAAAATGAATTGGGTAGCCTATACAATAATCATATAGAACAGTCATTTATAAAAAGATCATTTGGGCCATTCCAAGCAAAAGTTGAATTCCATCAATTTTTTAAAAAGTGTAGTGAAAGTAATTTTTTTTTATTTTCGATACCAAAAGACATTGGAATTTTATTGGACTACATTCATTTAATCGATTTAAAATTTCACCTAGGTTTTTGATGGTTTATAAAAATTGGCCTGAAATGTAGAAATTTTGGTATAATTTACATATTTTGTGATGATTCCTGACACAAAGTGTTCGATTGTGTGGTACAGTTATTTCATATGGAATTGACGCACTGGATTTAAGTTTAATAAAGTTTGTATGTTTGCAGTGCTGTAGGACATTTCTTCACCCATTTAACGATTTATTACCAGAATTTTAAGAGATAATAGAGGCCGCTATTCCGAAGTGGAAAAATGTCCTGTAGTGTCACATACAATATGCACATTATTGGCATAGATTTACAGTGTTACATTAGGTGAATTGAGCAACACATAGGGGGGTAGTTCAGCTACTGACCAGAAAATATTATGGGCTCCTACTGTACCAACGCAAAAATTTACAGCACAACACAACGTACTGTTAGTGCATGGTGGATTTGCCGTCCTGTAGTGTCACGCTATATTTTACTATATTTTTTTTATCTACTAAGCAAGGTTGGGTGTAACTTTTGTGCAATTTTTTACATATTCAATAAAGCAACTGATTGGACAATGAAACAAAACATGTAGCTGAAAATGTGAAAATATATTGCATCCAACAACATGCCAAATTTCTGGAATTGTCCTTCTTGGAATAGCCCATTTTTTTTCAGCATTTTTGTCCCCCCTTATACCTGCCTGAAAACATCTGGCCTAGGTCATACACAAAATACATAAGGTCACAAGGTAATACAAAATGGCACAGAAATACAATTGTGTCAAGTGTGAAGCAAGACTCTTGAATCACATAGGATAGTTATTTTTGTTCATGATACAACAAATGCATTTTATGCATATGGATCCAATAGAGCAGTGGTTCCCAAGTTGCGGACCATGGGTCGTAATTTAATATGGCCCACCGATCTTAGGTGTGTGAAATAGTTTAGTACTCCAATTGTTATGTCTTTATCACAGTTTAAGCATGTGCATATTCGGAACAATTCAACTATATCAGTAATTCAATTTCTGTATATGTACCGGTAACGGCATTGGGCCCTTCACTCTCCTGGCCTGCGGATATCCTTCCGCTTCTAAATTTGGTCCCCAGTCAATCAAACTTGGAAACCACTTCAACAGAGCAATGGCGTATAAGAAGTAAAGATAGTAGCGAGTCTTGCATAACTAGAACTAAAAGTTAAATTTAAAAAAAATTATTATATTTCTTACTTTCCTCTCCATGAGTGTTTCGTAGTGTAGTAGCACGCAATGTCAATGTTGTCAGGAATTAATTGCGACATTTTTATCCAATAACAGATAGTCCAATCCTATCTTGAAAAAATCACTTGGAGTGTTGATAACGACCACACAAATAGTCAAGGATATAGCATTTTACCCTATAATATATAAATCCCTAGAAATCTAAAAAATAATGCAATACACCATATATTAAAAAGAGCGTGTTTTTTTAAAGACAATCTGTGTAATATTAAATGTGGGCTGACAAGGTAAATTGTGTTATCTCTATAGTATAATAGGGAATACAGTATTTTCCGGATGAAATGCCAACCCAGAAAAATTTGCGGTGAAAGCACATTATTGACCTCCTTTTCTGATATTTTTAGTCCAATACTAATAAGATGACCACTGGAAAAAACAAAAAAGGGGAACCGCCCAATAAGGGTTGACCCCAGAAAATCATGCCAAAAAGTTTGCTTACTGCTGGAAAATACAATATTTATGTAATATATGATAATACACCTCACAATAATTAAAGTATGACATTTTAAAATTAAACACAGCTGTAACAACGTATATTGTATAAGTACTATACTAACTTGTATTAAAAAGGCACAATTGTATAAGTATAATATAGTAAAGCATAGGTTGGTGTAAGTGGCCGTCCATATTAGTTCAGTACTGTTAAATTGAAGGATTCTTCTCTGAACAGACTTACGGTAAGTGAAAATTCAAAAAAGAATAATTAAGGGTCCAAATGTCTTACTTTTTCAAAACTGCAAAGTCTAAGTTACATAATAAAATTTGTGAAAGTGTTATTCATCTATTTGTACCACTAAATATAACCAACTTGATTCTTGCTACAGTACCTTTATTCACTAACTAAAGGGAGAGAGAAAAGAGAGATAGTTATGCCATATATGTGAAGAAAAAAAACAATGTAGAAAAAAATTTTCAATACTGCTGCCAGATCAAATTCAACGATTTATGAAAATTCCAATGATTAAACAGAATTTGGTCTCCAATATTTTACCCTACCTTTAAAAATTAATGTCAACATTTTAACAAATTTCAAAAGCAAATTTGAAATGATGGTAGAAAGCACAGTAAGATAACCAAAAGTGCAATATGCAATTAAAAAATGTTCATATAATATATGCCATCTCCATAACCCATAAGCAAAATATGTGTTGGAGCTGTAATAGGGGGTTATATCTCACAAATTCCAACACTTGATAGAATGAATCAAAATTTGTGTACTTGAATTGAAAAATAAACTATAAACCAAATTGTAATTATTAATGTATTTACTATAACATTTGTAAGCATATGCACTAATGGCAAGAAGCAAAGAATATAAATATTGCTAGCGTTTCGAATGCTTCTACAGACACATTTCAGAAATAAAAGCAATGAACTAAAATAAAAATGTCACAATAATGACAATGTTTTACTTGAAAACAACAGCCGAGTCCAGCAAACTGGATAAAATACTCGATAAAAGAATTCATTTCAAGTGATTTTCTATGCCATATAATATGAAACAAGAAAAATCCTAATAACCTGGGTGTATGCTTTACGCAAAAAGAAAACTTTTAGCTTCAACTACAAGAAGTTTTCCTTATTAACTTCTACTCATGTGACTTAAAAATGAGTGGAATAATAATAAGGCATTTAATCAAATATTAATTATAACAGGAAAGTATGTGCTTTTTATTTCAAAAAAGAAACCAATATCCCAAACTACAGAAAATTTAGCTCATTAACATGATCTAAACTTCTATTTAAAATCAATAAACTTTAAAAAATCACTTTAATAAATATAAAAACATCATAAATCTCTGTAACTTGGGTATATACTTTAGTCAAGAATGAAATCTGTATTACATTTAAACAACAGAATATTTAAATGGTCAACTTATTCAAAACTCCTACTAATGTCATTTGTCCAAAGAACGTGCGAATACCAAAAAAAAGCACTTTGACAGAGTAAAATAGTAAAAACACCAATGAATAAGACATGCACTTAAACCATTTTCAATATGAAATCAATATTCGAAAGTACAACAAAAATTGGTCAATTTAGTTGTTTATGACTGTGCAACACTTGATTAAGGCAAGTTTGAAAGATAGAACATGGACAACACAGAATATAATAATATATAATAGGCTATATAATTAAAGGTCAATAATATTCATAAAATATTTTTTTCTAAGATGATCTCACTCTCAGAATAGAACAAAAAAAGTGCAAAATACATAGCAATAACTTATAACACAAATTCCATTAATCTTATTCCTGTAAACATGCCCAGAGCTAAACTAATAGAAACTTGAATAATAAAATATTATGCTATGAAACAAATACCAATATGTCAGAAATAAAACTAGAGCATCAGACAAAATTCAAGCATGAGAAAACAGACATCTTACATTAGGGAAATTCCACCTCTGCAATTTCAATGTAAAAGGAAATTCCTTGATAGATAATATGTAGTGGACCAGATAGATAAGACTCCAGTTCTTAGATAGAGTAGCCAAGGAATAATTGAATTCTAAAATATTAGTGCATCAGATGTTGCATATAATCTTTCATCTGCTTTCAGGTTTTGGGTCATGAATTTACTTGAAACAGTTCTACATAAAAAGTTAACACAAATTCTAACATAAAATTTGTTGAAATATATTTACTACGAATTATTCGTACTAGGACTTAGTGTCACAGTTGTTATACCCAGCAAGTACACACACAAAAACTAGCAATAATATGAATATAAAACAAACATATGTCAAAATAAAAGGGAAATTGGAAATTTAAATCAAATGATTTGAAAAAGTAATAGAGGTTGTAATCAAAAGATGTGTATTCTTAAAAATAACGAAGTTAAGAAATAACGGTTTACATTTCGAAAGATTGTTCATCACTTTTGGCAGTAGGCTATAGTATTGCACTGAAAATACAAATTTTGTGTCGCCACTTCACAAAATAAAGTTTAATGAAGCTTTGTTTCCTAGAATATTCAGAAAATTTAATTTTATTACTATATTCATCATTATGGTAAGTGGTAACAAAATTTTTCATTGAAAATTTCAGTTGAAGCCTTTTGCCACAACTCTTATTTCACTAAAAATTTGGCCCAACTCTGATCACACCAAACATCTTCCGCAACCATTTGCCGTGATGGGTGCGTACGGCATGTTACTATTTGTAGGGTCAGATTATATGAGAGAATATACAGTAATAAACCTAAATAATTCCCTTTATTATAAAATTAGCGACTACTTATGTATCAGTGGATATCAATCCGATTGTACACGGCCTTGTCCAGTGCAAAAATGCCTCATGGACAACTTGCAAGTAGGTAGGATTTTGATTCCAAGACCTAAGTCTAAATTCCAGCTCAATTCTTAGAGATCTTGGCTCACTTCGGAAAACCTTTTATGAATCAGCTCTGAAATTTCATAAAAAAGGCAATAATTGGTCGAACGAGCTCACGAGATTGCAAAAAGCAACATATAAAATACGAAAACTTCTATATTCAATACTTCCTTCTTAAATATTGCTAAGATAATAAATGTGTATCGGTACATAATATCAGACACAGATAAAATAATAAAGAAAACACAAAAACAACTTTTCAACTATAATAAGGCAAAAAATTAATTTTTTAAGAAAAGTACTACCTTTTTTTACTAGGTGAATTTAGCTAAAATTGAGGTAGGAAGATGTCCATTGAAAATGTTTAGCTAGCAGATGCTTCTTTGATAATATTCAGTCTGATATTAACGAAAAAAAGACAATGAAGTGTAACCTGATACGGGATCGTCAAACTATTTTCATGATATGATTATTCTGTCGAGTCACGCTTCACTTATCCCACAGCATCATTAAATTAACTTGTAATTTCTCCATCTTCTTCTTCATGTGTGTAAGCCTCATCAATTGTGTTAACAATTTTCTTTCCACAAGTTTCTGGAAGAAGTAGAGCTAAAACTGCAGAAATTCCACATAAAATTCCATAACAGAGAAACGGAGTTGCGGAATTTGAATTCACTGTATATGTAGCAAGGAAAGGGGCCGTCATACTCCCGATTCTGGCTACTGTAGACATGCTACCAAGACCGACATTCCGAACAACAGTAGGAAAAAGTTCCGGTGTATAAACGTATATTAATGTAAAACATCCCGAAGACCCAACTTTCGCAACCATTGATAAAATCAAACGAAAGTGTGAGTTTGCATCCGTGTTTGGAACTATATACATGATAAACATACTAAGTGAAGTCATGGACATTAATAAGCATAAAGTTCCGCGTCTACCACACCATTTCCGCTCCATAAAGTATAGACAAATTGGCACAGATGGAAGCTGACTAATAGCAGACATACCAAACGCAAGATAAAAGTTTGGACTGAATGATCCTGCTCCAAGTGTGATACAATAAAACACAAAACTTGTCGTGAACCACACAAAACTTAGTATTGCAGTTCGGTAACGCAATACAGGTTGTTTCACCAAATCTAATATCGAATTTTTCACTTCTAATGGAGCCAAGGAACGATGTTGTGAATCAGAGTACGGCTCATCTATGTCTCCATCCCCAGTTACTAATTTGTAATATGAATGTTGATTCCCATTTCGCTTCGAAAATTTTTGAATTACTGCTTCGGCTTCATCCACCCGTCCTAGAGAGAGCAACCATCTTGGGGACTCAGGTGTAAAAATATAAAATAAATATCCTAGTAATCCAGGCAATGCGGCCACAACACATAGAGTCCTCCATGTAGGTATATAATAGGTAATTATCAAAAACACACACATAAACAAAGTGAAAGATATCTGACCTATAATACCATTCGTAACCCACATTTTTGACGCAGACATTTCTTGAAGCATAATCGTATTTACAACACTTAGTCCACCGATACCAAGACCGCTTAGAGTTCTACACGCTGCCATTTGTTGCCAATTCTGAGTGAATCCTATTAAGAGTGCAGCAATCATTAAAATAGTGTAAACCTTCCAACCAATGCTTCGTCTGCCATACTTGTCAGATAACTGTCCAAATAGAACAGTACCGACCATAAAACCGAGAAAAAAGATTGACTGTAGGAGACCAGGTATCCAATTTATTTCCTTTTCAGTCAAATGCCATTCGGTGATTATAGTTTGAGCATTATAAGCATGTGGGTTATAATCGAATGCATCCGCAGGTGGAGCTAGAAACATGACTAACATGATCTGAGGTGCATGGCAGTAATCAACAGTTAAATAAACCAGCAACAAAAGTAAATAAGAACGTTTGCAAAGCGAACCCATTTCATTATTGATTGCTTCATCAACGTCCGTCATGATGAAGTTTAAAGTGGAAAATCTTCTGTATAGAGTTGTTGATTTCTTTAAGAATCAGAGTTAATTAATATTAAAAAGAATTAAACTTCCTTGATTGGTGATTGCATTAGTATGCAATTATTTAATAATCCAGGTTTTTCATTAATAGTAGAACAGAACACAGGAATACTAATGATGAATTGATGCCTCATTCAGTAAATCCCTATATAGCAGTATAATCCTTGGTCCTCGACTTAGGTAGTGAAATGAAGAAGTGTGAATACCAGCACTATCAATCAATGTATGATGAGATTATTCTGACTGGTCACGCTTCAATGATTATTCCTTGAGATTTTATTCCGTATAATATCACAGCATTTTCCCAGAGTTCTGAGGCAAACGTTTGATACAGAGAAACTTTACATTTTTGAGTTGGAAAAATTATGAAATTAGAAATAGGCCAATCACAGAATTACAAAATTGATTTCTAAAATGATTTGAAAATGAAGCAAAAAAACTTTGAAATTATGACAGAACATAATTTTCAATATAATCTCAAGAAAGAGAAGGAAAAGATAAAAACAGCAAATCACAGAATCATACCTGTATCATATCTGACTAGTTACATAATGCAGTAACGTCTAACGAACCACAGAACCACATCTTCTTACTAGGTCTGAGGTATGGTACCCCGTACGGTAATCAGATCGGGTGTCTAGGAACCGGTACCGTACCGCTGTACCGGAATAGAATTTTAAATAGTTACCAGTAGGGCTGTCCAAGCGAACCGAATATTCGAAATCGAATCGAATCGCAAATTATTCGAAGCGTTTTTCGGCCAATTTACGAATCGCTGAAATTTGCTACATAATGCGCCTCACGACCGCCTTTGCACCGCGTTTTTCACCGGGCAAGCAAAAACATGTTTCTATCGCTTTCTTTGCTGTAAAAAAGTCTCTTCTATTGCCCGGTGACATGTAATTATTCATTTCATGCATGGTCATAAATGAAAAGTTATCGGTAACAATTATTTGAAGATGACGTTTTTTGAGAGAACACAAGGAGAAAAAGGCAAATTTTGTGCCAGCAAAAACGCCACTTCTATAAATAGAATCGATTTGTAGCTGTTGAGTTAATAATCATAGGAACATGGTACAGGACTGAAACACGTTTTGGAGGTTTAATACCTTTTTCCAATAGGATTTTTAATTTTTTCTAATTGCAATACTTTGTTTCATCCATTTATCACTATGACAAATAATTGCACTCATGTGAGTTGATGGCTGTTGTACAGCAACAATATGGTCATCAAATAATAATGTCTTTAAACTAGCTCTGAATTTGTGAGTTCCCGAAATGCAATTTGAATTTTTTGGGCAACAGTTTTATCTATATTAATAGTTGTTTATCATTTTACTGAAAATTAAAGAAAAAATATTGAGGTAATAATACTAATGATAATAGGATTAAAATAGTAACTATGGCATTAAAAGAGTCTGTGCAATTTCCAACTCTTAAAACTTGATAGTTTTCAAACCCTAATTTTTTGACCAGTTCAAGTAGGCTTGTGATCCCCTTTTATAACTTTGGAAACATAGTTATGCAAAATATTTTCAATAATTTAGATAATAACTGCACATAGATTATCACAATATTGAAGAGGAAGTTTTATTGTACATTAGAGACAAATTTAGAATTGCGCAATAATATTCGAATATTCGGTTCGATTCGAGAAAAATCTTCGGTTCGATTCGAATCAAAAAAATATTCGATTTTGGACAGCCCTAGTTACCAGTAATCTAGTGGTTCCCGAACCGTGGCCCCATAACATAATATGACCCGCTGAACTTGGGTGAGATGGAAACAATTAAATCAGTAAATAGTGATAGTCTATCTTAATTATATGTTCACGTACCGGTATCGGCCCTGTGTGGGCGCTACCAACTCCTGGGCCGCAAATACCGGTACCGAGATCCCAAATTGTTCCTTATCCAGTTATCAGCCTACGCAGTTCAGCAGTTCAGGCGCGGCGGTGTGGCTCAACGGGCTAAGCAGTAGGAATACGCTCGCCACCGCACCTCCAATTACTCTGCGTGGGTTCGCAGGTTCGAATCCCATGCAGGGATGGTTATGTGCGAGAGGATTGCTGGACTCCTCGCCGTCGTTGGGTGGTTCACGTAACCGCTGGTCGGTTACGGCTTCCTCCACCACCAAGTCCATGCTTTCGAAAACAAACAACACAGTAAAACTAATCCCATACCCGACTTGGAATGGTAACCGGACGAGAGGCCGTGGTTCGCCATGTGGATAAGCCGTCTTATCGACTTTCCTCTCCCCCGGGATAAATATGTAAATCCCATCCCCAGTTATGATGCATGAACTACCGGTACCGGTATCAATATGACGGCACGGTGGCAACGTGAGCAGTACGAAAATTTTGCAATTCCTTCACTTGGGATTGTGAAAACCGACACTCGACAAATTGATTGATTGATTGAAGTCCTGTCCCGGTACCGGTAAGCGGTACGGTAGGGTAACTGTCACTGCTGAGCGCATTGAGGTTTTAGATTTTACCAAGTAGACTACCGTACTCTACGGGTATAATTATCTGTTCATAGTAAATTCCAACTGCTGCGATAAACGCAGGTTATGAAATCATCAAGCAGTTAAAACAAGGGCTAACGCCAAAGATGGTAGGGTACGATACCGGTAACGCTTACTTTTTGCCTGGTAGTAGGCCTACCAGATTCTTTTCCCCTGAAGGCAAAGGTCAGCTGACTCGACATATGTTGTGCTGGAGTCCTCATAAGGAATAATCGGTCAAATAGCTATTCGATCTTCAATCAATCAATTTTATTTTGGTCGCTCTGGCATAAAACAAGACAACAACAAAACAAAAAACAAAATGCAGGGATACCTTGGAGACGAGCATAACTCAGTAAAAAATTGAAAACCTTCAAGTACGTGTCCGTCCACCAACTGTTAGAAAGTTTTCGGACTCCTTTCCTCTTGTTGGTTTTAATGCCTAGTCGTTGGTTTTATCCAAGAGCGCTTTGCCGTTCACTAAACACAGGGAAAGTACGCAACAAAATAAACACACACTATGCAAAATCGGGCAATAACTTTTATATCAATTTAACATGTGAAAACATCGATCAGAAGAAGAACAGAGCAACACTTTTTACAAATTGAAATTGAAAAAAAAATTGTGGCCGCGGTTGTCATATGGTGCCATTTTGAATGCAATATCAAAAACGCAAATATGACAAACGCAATTGAAATTTAGAGTTTATAAAAACTGTGCATGTAAGCAGTGGTGAGATTCATTTTTTTTGTCAGCCGGTTCCATCACAAAAGTCATATTTTTCAACCGGTTCTTTTACAAGAAATTATTGACAGTGACCAATAATGCTAACCGGTTCGATGATCTCATAAAATTCTGTGAGACGGTTCTATAGAACCGGTGCGAACCAAAGTGACTATAAAAGTCAAAGTTATAGTCACTTTGGTCCGAACTGGCTGAATCCCCTCACTGCATGTAAGTGAGTTTCTTCTAGCTATCACAAAGTGGGAAAAAAATAATATATAATTGTGTCACATTTCACACGTCTAAAAAAGATAATTTGCAGATCAGTGACTTGAAATGTAAAATGCATTATGGTCTGGCCATAAATATATCAGGCTCTTCTAACATAAAAATTACTGAATTTATAGTTGGCAGTCTGGAGTTGAAATTCTGATTTCCCCGGAATCAGAGTCGCGATTTCAAACTTTCGCTGATGAGAAAAAAAGCGAAAAGTTTTTTAGGCGTTATCAACAGTAAGTTAAAAAAGGCTTTTATTCGCAAAAAAATGTTGGCATGAAAATTTGATTTTCCAAGGTTTGGTGCCTAAAAGATCGCGACAAAATTAAAAAAATATATGAATACACAACTTAAGAAATAAATAAAATACCGCGGAATAAAATATGAAAACATTCTATTACGAAAATCAATTACGAAATTAAACTGTGCATATTCTTCAATTCTTTCCGTGCGGATATGGCTATATGCGAGAGGTTGAATGAATTAATTGTTGACGAAGACGATATCCCGATATTGTCATAACTGGAATGGTATTTCGAAAATGTTCGTTGAACAGGGAGCAATAAATATCCAAAGTCACAACGACGACGCTGTAATCGCAGCGCACAATTGACGCTTTGAGGTTGCCGATTACGCGAATCTTGCGGCGATAGCCTTTTTTGACGTGTAAAATAGGATTTACCAGTGGCGGCGCGTCAATAGGGCCAACCGGGGCAATGACCGGTTATTTTTTCGGTATAATAAAAAATATTCAAAAAATACCTCAATATCGGTTGCACAGACTGTCTACACTAGTCATATTCTCCCGACATGGTTCATTTTTCGCTCGCAAAGCCTTCGCCGAACGTCAACGGGGCGACGCCGATTTTGCCCCGGTTGCTCATTGTATATCGTATTCTCTCTTTTATCTTCCACTCGCCGCGTTTGTATCGTTTGTTTTCTGTTTCTTTTACTAAATCATCGGGGCCGATCGGGGCTAGCCCCAAAATTATGACGACACAATGCCGACGTTTCTTACAACAACGTGTTGACAATTTGACATATTCACGCATTCCTTCTCGTTCGTTGGTTGCTTGAAGAGTTGATAGTTTCCTCGCCTTCGTTTTTGTCGCTTGTTTCGCTATTTGAATCAGTTAGAGACCTTTAGTCCATTTGCTTTCGATTTTCCACATTCCTTTTGAGCTCCTCACTTCTTTCCGGCTTTGCATTTCTTAGCCTTAGACCTCATAATGTATAAGGTTGATGCACTACTTCGCACTCCGTTTTTGCAGCTGCCGCTGGAACAAAAATTAGAGGTACAACGTCTTGGGCCTTATCAACCAAATAATTGTTCACTGGAACAATCTCATGACGGAGGAAAGCGTCGGCGTACATTCTGCGCAGAAACTTGGTATAAAAAACACGAATGGTTGTGTTACAGCGAGGACAAAAATGCACTTTTTTGTTTTTAATGCCTACTTTTTGCTACCGCCCGTGACTCACGTTGGTGTAAATTTGGTTTTAGAGATCTTAAACATCTTTCCGAGCGTGCCAGGGATCATCAATCTTCTATGGAGCATCTGGACAATGCAGTAAAATACCGAACATTCGGAAATGTTAATATTGCAGCACAGTTGGATGAAGGACGCGCGGTTTCTATTCGTTGGCACAACCAAAACGTCGAGAAAAACCGCCATGTTCTCGGTCGATTGATAGATGTTTTGAAGTTCATTGGTTGTCACGAGCTGTCCCTCCGTGGGCACGATAAACGGGCTGGCTCTTCTAATAGAGGGGTATTTTTGGATATGGTGGAATACACCGCATCCCTAGATACAGTATTGAGAGATCATCTTAATGCAACTGTTTCGAAAGGGACATCTAAGGATATCCAAAAT